TCTCTGTTATTATATAATCATCCATTCCAAATCACAGCAGAGCACCTAACAGCAAAGCTCTATTTACTTAATAATATATTGAATTTGATGATTCGTAGTTGGTGAACGATTCACTTTTTTATTCGAGGAGATAACCTCGTTTAGAAGTGATAAGTGTGAGTAGTGAAATGAATTGGATTGAGTGCGAGTACATATGTACAAATACATACATAAATTCGAAGAAGTATTATTTTACTTACTTATTTTTGACTTGAACTATTTACTATCTGCCGAAATCACTGAGAGGTTTTCGGGTTGGTGGATGAGGTCAGTGAGGTCAGGTCAAGAAAGAAAATGATTCTTTTGAGGAACCGCAATGATCCGCCAACACGAGGTTTTTTGTTGGGCTATCTTTACACGTACCTAAAAGCACGTAGTTTCTGCAAGTGTTGATGAAGCATCTGTCAATAAGGAAGGATCATTTTGAGTTGTCATTTTTAGAGTGGAAGTTTTTTGCTACAACTTCTACTACTATTTGCAGTTGTGTGTATACGTCTTTTATCTGAATCTCTACTAGACTGCAAGGGCCCACTCACAACTTTGAGAAAATTATTGACATTTTCTCAGTTCCTGTTTAAAATCTGCGAATATTTGCAGAACAGAGGTGTGTTTGTTGCATGACAAATGATCCAAATTTACAAAAAGGTGGTGGAACTGATTAGATTGTTGTTCTCACTTTTTCAATCGAGTCTTATCTAATCGTAATAATACTCAATTTGCATAAAACATGTTTAACATTTGTGGGAAAGTAAACAATAAAAAAGCCCCATGCACCCGGTTCTTCATCAATTCGCGATTCTCGTAAATTTTCGTGGTGATGAAATAACGTTGCATTTGCCTTCTTCTTTTCAGTGAGGGATGCGCCTATGTAGTAATAAAATTACAACAGTGAAACCATTTGTGCATCCAGTTGCAACGAAATTGTGCATCTTTTTCATTGCTCGTAAATAAAGTTAAATAAAATTACGCAAATTTCTAGGGGTCCAATTTAATTTATCCTTCAAGCATGAAAAAGTAGCTCAAGGACTGTTTCATTGCATTTTCATTGCATTTTCATTGCATTTGGTTGCATTCGGCTGCATTTTACGTAACAACGACAACAGCCAAACCCAAAGAAGACGAAGAAGCGCATCGTCATAAACTCGATCCCGAGCTGAAACCTATTTATCTTTTAAAGTTTTACGAGATGCAAACGGACAGCCCATTACCTGTTGCTGCAGCATTATTATGCCTTTTACTCACTCCTCTCAATGTAAACTGATATTTCGAAACCGATATTTCTTTTGAAATTTGAGGATTTTATAGAAAAACTGAAGCAATAAGGACTTGCATTTAATTTCTTGAAGCCATCCATAACTAAGATGCAAAGAAAAGGTTGTATTACACACCAGAGCACAGTGAAATGACTCAAGTTACTCGTGTAATAATAACACAAGAAGAGGCAAGCCAACCAACCCTGTCGTAAATTGTGGAAGCAATAAAGAAATGCTGTGCAGCGTGGCCTGGGTTCGTCAGACAGCGTGGAGCTTCAAATTCCAGACCGTGCATTACACACGATGACGACGATGCCGTGCTCTTTGCTGCGTCGTTGCCCCGTTATTTCCTCTCGTGTAACGTTTCGAAAACTAGATTGTGAAATGCATGGTGCTTATGTATTTATGTAATGTAAGAGAGTATACCAGATGGGAATGAAAGCTTATTGGAAGAATTTTCTAACTAGGATTTTCAAATAAAATTTCGAAATTTTTTTAAAATTATGGACAGGGTTAAACTGTTTTGGTAAGTGCCACTTTGTCTGGCCGAGAGATATTTCCCATTTATTCACAATCCTCCTGACAAAAGTATTGGAAGTGGTGGGCCTGTAGGTTCGTGGGAGACTTGTTAAACACCTCCAGAAAGATTGGAATACTTTCTTGGATTGAAGATACGTTTTATTTTATTTTATTGTACTCCCTCGTGTTCCGTTCAACATTATATTATTTTATCATCTCGGACAATAACAACAACAACAATGATGCAAGCAATATAAGGTACCGAGAGGTATCTCAGATGATATTAATGCACGCACTGCTTGAAAAAAGTATTCTCTAACTGACTACACTTTTTGGAAGGGCTAGACAGACTGGAGCTTTGTGGAAATGGGATCCTTCCAAACATGTTGTGACCAAAAGGAGACCAATAAAATGCGTAATCCGCCTTAAAATTCTGAGATAGAATTGCTTGCACGTTCCCCAAGACAGAAATTGAAACCTTAGTCTTAAAAGGAATTCATCTTCCCAGCAGCCGAGTGGTAGAGGTCCTTTCATCCGATGAATTATTGGACACAGTCGCATCTCAATAAATAAGCAGGCGAGGGTTCAACAAGGGAAGACTTTGAATTCTAGAGATTTACAATCCTCTGCATTACAAGTATCTTGAAGGAATGGGGAGGAATGAGAGTGTGGAGAGAGGAGATTATTTTATTGATAATGCCATGAATGCCCGGGTGGGTGAGAGGTATGGGCCGATTATGCTGCGTCGTCCTGTTAAAGGTCTCACAGTTTTTTAGTACTTGCCGGCCGGCAAGCCAGAAAATTATGGATGGATGGATTGCTCTGTGTCATAAATGAACGGTTATTGTGGTGGTAGATTTTTTTTCCGTTGCATAATTATGAAGCTCATATTTTTCCAACTGTGCTCAGCATTAACTGGTAATTGTAAGGAGTAATTTGAACAAATCTCCACCTTTTTCTAGCACAAGCTCCCAATTAAGCACATCCGACGCCTGGATGGATATATTGCCGAGTGTTTCATAAAACTATTCATGTTTTGTCTCTGCCACAAGTATCTTCATGGCATTTCATTAGAGCTGCACTTGACTGGACGTAATTCAATCAAGCAATGTGAACGCAGAATGTGGCTCGTTACACTTGTTCCTCGTATTTTGAGACCAAGCGTAGCATTTCAGACGAGCCAGACTGCTGGTCGCCGTTGGTTCCTTCTTCTCCCAGAAAATATTTTCGAGTTTGTACGTTCACCAACCAACCAACCTTCACAATGGATAATTTGAAGCCCCGTCGAGCCCCTTATTCCAACCAACAAACGGATCTCTCTAGACAAGTTATGACATCCTAACCAATGTTTTATTTTGTTCGAACCTACAGAATATTTTCTCTGTACATTTTGCACCAGGTCAATATCGTATTGTGATGAAAATTCTTTTGAATTTATTGATACCTGTAGGAAGGATGGAATTGGGATTAGAGTGCAATTGGAGAATGGGACACTGCGACCTTGTTACCCAAAAATGCTAGTCAAGTGAGCAGTCTCATATTTATTGTATGATTTGATTGGGAATGGTAGCAAGCGATTCTGTAAATTAAAATCCTAAGCTAATAAAAGCACATCGATTTCACAAATCAGGAAGGATCACAGGGTAGACACGGATTTCAGGAGATGTATAAATACTTATAGCTTCTCGCATTGTTGGTATGAGATTTTTAGTAACAACTTTTCACGTGTAGTTCACATTTCGCTCACATTTGTCTTAACGTGATGACAATTATTTGTATTGTATATCCAGCTTAACTATATGATATCCAGCTAGCATTAATTTACCAAAGTCTCAAAAGAATCAAATGAAATTCCTCACATTCTGTAAACCTGATGAATAGCCCAACTTGGAGGAACAATGCAAAGTTTCAACTCTTAACAAGGACTTTTGTGAGGAAAGAGACAAAGAGCAATGATGAGTGAGTTAACAAGATGGGAAACAAATACGTACGTAAGAAACGCTACCGAATGTAAGTGTTGCGTTCACCTTGGAACACCACACTACTTGAAGTTGTTACTTATTACATTGCTGCGTGTAACTAATTTTTATAGAAATTGGGAGAATTCCAAAGTTTGTCTTCCTCCGTCTGCACGTTATGGGCATGGATGGATGTGAGGTTGGGTTCGTCCCGTATGCCACCGCGTCACCCAAGCGTTCCTGGTGAATAATCCCAAAAATATGTTTACGTTTGGACAACAATTCAGCAACGTGGGTGGTTTAACACTACGCTGATCAACAATCCAGCACTACTTATTCCTGAGACGCACATAGTATGGTCCAATTGTCACCGTGTTCAGTAACAATATAATTGTAACATGTTGTTGTTGCTACTACAGATATTTGTCTTTATTGGAATTTTAGTAGGTGAGTATTAAGTAGATTAGTTCAAGTGAAAAAGAAAATATTTTTCAGTTTGGAGTGTTTTTCTCACCGTGGGAATCTCACGAAAATGGAACAAAATTTATTACTATACTTATACGATTGACTAAATTTTGTCCGATTAACGTTGGATTACGGGACCTCGCTCGCCTAAGAAAATGTGTTGGATGAAGGCTGCCTGTCGATACATACGTAGAGATTCCATAACAAGAAAGAATAACGGTCATTGCGTAATTTAAGGTATCATTATTGGCCTCACTCGTTAGCATGACAAACGAAACCACGCGTATTTGCATACGTTTAAAAAATCTGTGGCTATTGATCACCTTTCTTACGTTAATGGCATCATGATTCATCGTTGAATAGTGCAAGTCAACCGCCACCACCACCGCCGTTAGATCATCTTTCTTTCAAAGCTCGTGCATTGTGTTAAAGCCGTTTAAAATAAGTTTGCTGTCAGTTTATCCCATCAACGACATTGACGAATCAGCCGAATCTTTTACCCCTTTTCTTCCAATGCAACTTTCCCCACACTTGTTGCCAACTTGTAAGCTCGTTTAACGAGTTGAACAATTCAATACTTGGGAATGCATAATTTGTGATGGGTAACATTTCTCTAAACATTGATTCATATGGAGATCCATGAAAATATTTGCATGTAAAAGTCATCAGATAATGAATGATGAGAATGGATGAGGCAGAATTAGCATGATCCCAGCAAAGTGCTCATGATAAATAATTAATCCAAGTAATTTTTTATACACGGTCATTATTATTAGTACAAAAAAATAAAATTTTATTCTCTCACGTTCAAACTTGCAAACAATTTGTTATTACGTAATATATTCAAAAGTGAAAACTGTACATGTTCCAATATCAACAATTTTTCTCAACTACAATCACAATCTCGAGGTGTTGTTTCACTTTTTTAAACCATAAATACGAGGAAAGTATCAATTACTAAGTATAACATTCCTAAAATCCTAAAACTACAACTAACAAATAATCATAACACACTTGTATTTAATTCATACACATAAATTAAAGATAATAATCATACGTTGTAGCAATATTGTAAAATATTAAAGCTTTCTTCATAATACACACTAAAATCCTATAAGAAAATTATACTATTACTGAGACTACAATTACAGAACAAAGGTGTTGTTATTGTTGTTGTTGTATGTGTCATGATAATGATGATTAGCTGCATAAACAGAGTTATGCATACGATAACCTAAAAGCTACTAAGATGAGTATAGGTGGATCGATTAGTTTTAAATGTACGTAGAGAATATAGTAATAGAAATAAAGTAGTAAATTGTGGTAGTACAGTAAAGTGTAGCAGTATAGTGTATATAATATGTAACGTGTGTGTTTTTTAGCAGATATTCTAAATCAAAAGATCAATTGAAATCTGGCATTGTTGTACTTGAAGTTGTGTTACACATTAAGTTTTTTTTTACATCTTTAAAAAAAGTTGCATATCCTTGTACAGAAAATTGTAATGCCGTTTTGCAAAAGAGATCTTTCTAAACCGAAACCTTTCCCATTACTAAATCTTTCTTAGAGCATGTATGTATGTAGATCAGCAAAGACGAAAGAAATTATTCACCCGGAAATGTCCTTTATAAACAAACAAATAATCATAATTTTAAAAAAATCGTTCATTTAGTACGTGTACTTAATTGAAAGGTGGGTAAGTTGAGATGATGGGGGGGAGGGGGGCTGATGAAATTGTGCAAAATATCATTATTATTTCTCTACTATTTTAAGAATTATGCAGGCGATACAAAAAAAACTATTATTTTTCTACTTCTACCGGAAACGCATGCACACAACACGTACGTAATATATTTTCTAGGTGAATGAGGAGATCTTTAATTTCTTGTCCTGTCTGCCACTGGTTGCTGTTGCAACTTTGCAGGAAATTTCAATTATTACTCGGAGGTAAAATGAGATAAAGTAGGTATATTGAGTTTTGAGATAATGTTGGAACTGTACTAAATAAGGTTCATGTTTGTCCATCACGCATTACACGTACGTTTAAAAATTACCTACTTACACATATAGTTTGAAGCGTTGGATTTAAGCGTAAACGAAGGTGACTTAATTGACTACTCGTAAATAATAATATTATATAAAGTTCAATTCATGATACACACACACATTTACCGAGTAGCGTAGTATTTAGTACGCGAGTACAAACTACGAACCAAAACCAATAAGAATAAATAACAATAATGTTATAAATACCAACTCAAAAACAATAACAATAAAATTAGGTTATGTATGTAGAGTTGATGCATTCATCGATTTCATAAATAAAAATTTCCTCTGCTATTTCATAATCTGTCAAAAATTGTCTGGTTGATTCAAAAAATTTCAATATTGCTACAAAATAAAGCTGGCATTATATATTACTTATATAACTCACTCGTTGGCGTACTTCCTCAATTTAGTCACTTTTATACTTAATTAACTACGCTATCTCGCATTCCCCACGCTCATGCAAAAACAAAAAAAAACACAATTTCCTACCAAATTAATATATCTACTTGTAAAATAAAGTTAAATGATTTTCAAAACGATTGCAACTAAAATAATGTAATGATTGGGATTTCATTTGGATTTTCATTGCGATACATAGTTTGCGATTGAATGGATTTGTTTGTTACTGATAAATGATGATCAAAAGAATTGCGAAATGTCAGGCCGGGATAATTGTTACTGAATTATGTAAATTATTAAAAATGGATAAATTTCGTTTTTAAATACTTTCAAAACACTCTTCAAATAAAATAAATACTCGTTTCTATGTCTCGCATGCACAATTGTGTAACTAATAAAAATATCCCTTTTGTTCCTACCCTTAAATATTAAAAAGCCCGTTCACGATGATGATGATGATAAAGTTTTTGTATATATTGCTAATAAATACATGAAATAATAGAACCAATAATAAATATTCCACACAATTCCTCATACGATGTGTGAATATTATAATGCCGTCTTTTTGTCGGGTGGTGGAGATCCGCATGACGAAGCCGTCGTGGTGCTGGTCGTCGTCACAGTGGTCGATCCAGCCCGACGTTTCCTCGTAGACATGAAATCTGTAAGAAGAAAAAAGACCGTTAAATACTTGTAAAATTTTCTCACCAGAAATATTTTCGAGATTATTTTTGTGTGACATTGAGACGACGAGTAACACTTGAATAATTGTGGTTATGAGTATACATACTTGTTCGTATGCAAAGTATGCATGTGTTTCCAGGATGAATTGAACATGCTCATTCATTTCGCCGTTAATGAGTGTTTTACATAAAAACTTGAGAATTAAATAAACAAGGCTTCAGGTCGTTTTGCATATTATTCTGTACGCGCTCATTCATTAGGTGTCTCCATCATCAAGATGACAAAAACTTGACAAAAACATGTTCAATATTTTAATAAGTGGTTTCAAATGATTGACCTTGCACACACACGAGAGGATTATAATCTGGGTTTGGTTTTGAATCTGCGTGATCATTCCTATGTGAATGTTGTTCCTAAATCTCCGTTCTTTCTCGAGAGCACATTTTAATAAATGGATTAGAACAAAGGAAATCAGTGTTGGCCTCAAGGGTTAAGCCTTTTTAAGTGACTTGTAAATTCTTTGCTGACTTTGAGAAAGCTTGAGCTTGGAGTACTTACAACACGGAATAAAAATATTATCAACAGGATCGCATCGAGTGTTTTTACGTACCTTTCCTCCAATCAGTTGAATATATTATTAGTAATATTACTATTTTACTGGGGATGATGTGGGAATATTTTCACTTCCTTGTTTATTCATTATATTGTTGTCGGATTGTTATGCTCTACACCAAAATATTTTCCCTCGGGGGAGAAATAAGTTTAGATTGTATCCCATTCACTCTCACTTGCGCTGCCGAATCGCTAAGCCATTAATTTTCCTAGGTTCTGATTCTAGCATAAATAATATGTACGTTCGTGGCTGGAGGAATGTTCATATAAAAAATAATAATGCTTACTTGCATGCGGGGCATGTTTTTTATCAAGGTTAAGCTCACTCATCGTTTGATCAAGTGCAATGCTCTGATGGGATTTGCAGATTAGAATGTTTTGTCAATGCAATGAAAAATCGTATCCGAGTGAATCGTATGGACATACAAGTAAGTTGTATAAAGTAGAAAGAAATATGAGAAATCCTCCATGCAAAATTGTAAATATAAATCATGACATCTTTGAAATGTCGACGTTAAAGAGATTAATTCTTCTGCTGCGTAGAAAGGAATTAAAAATAACAATTAAGGATTTCAATCCAGTCCTAGAATTACCACTGGCGATGCATTTCGTAAAGAAGCGATTGTTTGTTGGACTATGGCGACTTTTCTGCCCAACCCATAATCATAGGATTGACAGTAAGTGAGCATGCTGCATACGTGCCTGCCTGGATTAAGGTTCAGTCAGTTCAGTCAGTCTTTTAAGGAAGGGGATATTCTTAAATGTACGTATTCGCCGAATAATAAAGGTCAATCGTTCAATTCGCCTGTCTGTCTCTGAAATCCGATCCGGGTCTGGATGGGCTTGGCAGTACAAGAACAAACCAAGTGAACGTAATTGGAGACTCGATCAGCATCATCGGTGACTGATTTTGTTCCGGTATCTGACCATGCTTTAGAGACATACATACTAATACATTGGACCTAAAGTAGACTCATGTTCGTTAATTTGAGTAGTCAAAAGACGAGTTAGTTATTCATCATTATTCTCCCCTATGGTTGAGATTAAATGACTGACTGAAGCTGCACACAGGGCGAAATGTTTCTTCTACCGTCCGTCTAGACAATGAGCTGGAGGCTTGGCATGCACTAAAACTAAATCACTTCCCAATTATTGCATTACAACGGGAGAAGTTCCTTGCTTATCACATTTATACGTACGTGAGTTATGCATACAACGTTGGATACAAATATGTACCGATGTAATTTTGGATCAAATAAACCGTTAGAACGCATGTAACCAAGGGGTGAAAGGAGTGTCATACGTCAATGTGAATATCAAATTGTTCGAAAATTTGTTAAGATTGACACTTCTAACGTGTTTTCGACTTTTGTGTCTTATTTGTGTCAAATTTAACAGTTGATAACCCTTATGTGACCTTTATATGACCTCTGAGGTCAAAATGGAGGTCACCATTGAATTCGGGGTTAAATTTCAGTTGAAATTGAAATAGATATGTCCTATGACCTTTACATGACCTCTGAGGTCAAAATGGAGGTCACCATTGAATTTGACATTGAAAAATAGTTAAAAATGACGTGTCACATGTCAAAACTGACAAGTGACACTTTTTCGTCACTTTTCGTCACCGTGACGATGTCATCGTCACAGGTGACGTCCAAACACAAAATGACATGAATTTTCGAATTCCTCATTGAAAAATAGTTAAAAATGATGTGTCACATGTCAAAACTGACAAGTGACACTTTTTCGTCACTTTTCGTCACTGTGACGACGTCATCGTCACAGGTGACGATGTCACAGTGTCCATCTTCGAACTCGTCCTGTCCCTTGACGCTAGGAGTTTACGTTCAAAATTTCAAGTGTCTATGTCTTTTCGTTCAAAAGTTATCGGAGCTACGGACAGACAGACGGACGGACGGACAGACGGACATAACGATCTTATAAAGGGCTTTCACCCCTTAATAATGTTCCTTCTTTGGAAATGTGTCCATCAAAATGTTACCAAATTGCCGGAAGCGTATGCACACCACACCGCCGTAAGTTCTGATTTTGAGACTTAAATTTTGACTTTTCAACTTTCATCATCGTGTTACGACTTGTTGGCCTTATTTCTCAGAATTTTCAGAGACGATGATGCATCTGACTTTTCGTTCGTCCTCATTGAGAAATTGTTTCGATCCCGTTCGTGGTTGTGATGCAATAGCAAACTGCACACAGAAATGGATTGACTTATTGTTGACCGGATCAGAAAGAAATGCGAGACCAACCACTGAGTCTTGCAAAGTAAACTGTATACGTACGTACGTACGTACAGGGTCCATATTATTATCTCATCGCCTGCTGTATAGGTAAAGTTGAGATGAATGAAGACTTGAATTGGTGGAATTTCACCACCACCAGCAGAAATCAGAGCCCAACACCTTTACCCCGTCATGAACCAATCAATGGAATGCATGACCAAGAAGATGTATCATCAGCGAGATGAATAATAAATTATTGAAGGGAGAGAGACCCTTCGCCTTTATTATTCTTTTGTGAATACATCAAAATTAAAAATGAGACGAGCGTGTGAGATGCGAGTTGAGATAACAAGTCAAATTCCAATCTAATCCCAGTTTTTACTTTTAAAGATTTAAAGTTCATAGAGATCAGAAAACCAACCTCTCGTGACCCTCATACATACAAATTTCATAATCAGGGTACCAGGAAAAGGGCTGGTTCTGGTATTTTGGTATGCATAAGCAAGAAAGTTGAAATTTAAAAACGAAATCAACTCCTCCGGCAATACGAGTGTGTAATATCGAGTGAGCGAGGGGGGAGTGTGTGGGGCAAGGATGGAATGCAGATCAAAAATCAAATCAGACCTTTGGAATAAAGTTCAAACTATTATGGGAGGAGGAAACTGTGAAGCTATCCACGCTGCTGCCCGCGGTTACACAACTTTCAGTTTTTACCATGAAACTTGCATATTTCGCCAGAAATTGAGACCCTTTCTTACTCAAAGGAAAGGCTACTATGCAGAAAGGTGTGAGTTTGCATCACTTTAAAATTCCTAGATTGAGTGCACACCTGCAAAGCACAAGACCTAAACCAGGCCAGCGACGATTTTTCTTATATTCAATTCTTCTCCCTTTATACACAAGGAACCTTTATTTGCTTGATTGTTGTCCAGAAGGTACATATACCACGCTGAGGAGTAACATATTTATAAGGCTGGACCATTTCTGGCTGACTTATTATTGTCCTAAAATTTCATGGACGTAAAAGACCGCCAATTTGTGGAGTCCTTCTTAATATTAATATTTCTTCATAGAAAAATATGACTTGAACCAACGTAAGACGGTGGTTTAAACAATACAATTTTTTTGAAGGGACGAACCATGCGGAAATTTGTATTGGAGCAGATGGTTTACGAAATTGTGCAAGATTTGAAATGGTTGTTTAACATATCAGAAAAAGACACCCACTCACCCCTACTCCGAAACCTCACTCGTCGACTTATACATAAAGTACGTACATGCATATATTTATAAGCATACGTCTATAGGTACGGATTGAAATAAGGTCGCGTACTCCCATGTTTTTTCACGTCATGCTTCATCATCTCCGTAAAGTGGAGCAACGGACAAGACGAGACGACCCCTTTAAACCCCAAGAGAAGAAGAATAATATAATCGTGAAGCCCTTTTAATTTTAAACAAGACAGAGACGTCTGTCTTTCTTCTTCTTGTTGTTGATGATGGCATGGCATCTCCTCGCGAGATAGTCTCAACCACCAAAATACGAGCATTAGCAGCAGCGTCTCCTTAAATAGGAGAGATCCTTGTAAATCGTGTTGCAGGAATAATAATCAGTCGAGAAGAAGAAACAGCCCCTTCAATATAAGTCGTTCCCTATCCGTCCTCACCAACCAAGGTTTCTCCCCGTCTTATTGCTTCCAGTCGTCGTCGTCGTCTTGGTCGTTGTCCATCGTGCATGTACACGATGCATGTGCGTCTGCTGCAGTGAAGTATGTACCACAAGAAGAAGACGAAGACGAAGAATAAGAAATGAACCGTTTCAGTTGCACGTTACAAGAGAGAGAGAGTGAGTATAAAAGAGGTTTAAATAAGCTGCTGGGGGCATTAAAGTCCCAAGATTATCAAGAAGGATGGAAAAACCATAAACAGAACGAACGCTGCATGCTATAAGGGAACCAGAAGACCCAGCCAGACCATATCATAACATAATGGTAAAGAGTCTCTCGTGCAAAGGAGGGAAATCCAGACAGAGAAAGAAAGAAGAAAAGAAAAACGACCCTTCCTCCTACGTTTTACTACCAACGATCATAACAACACGTCTGCAAGAAGAAGACCAAGAAGGTTCAAATTGATGCCACAAATACAATCTGGTCATAGGGTACTTTATGCCACGACTGCCATTAGGACATGGCCCATCTCCCTTCTCAACGTTTAATAATAACTGTTTAAACAAATGTCTCAGCCTGCCTCCTGTCTCAAGACGACGACCAACTTTTCGGACAGTAATGACAATCCTAATCAATTATTAGCAAGTTTTCCTCCACTGCTTATCCCGTTAAGATAAGATACCCAATCGCACACTTGAGAAAAGTACATAGTACAAACCCCACATTTTTTTCAGATTTGTAAACTCTAGGAAATTAGCCATGCTTCATCATCTCAAAAATAAACACATACTTATTATTGATCTAAATCCCAGTGAAAATGTGGGTAATCACGGAGGACGGAGTGAAAAGGGATGATGATAACCTCGTAAGAATTATTACTACCAAAATCTCAACAATTATCCAGTGTGCGTCCAGCATCAGCATTATCTCTCTCGCCCCACATTGCCTCAGCCCAGTTGGTTGTACATATATATTTAATATCATCTCAACCGTCACCCTTCCTTACGACGCTGCACTTACTATTTCTTCTTACTCCATCTTCTACTACTGCACATAAAAGAAGCGTTGGAATAATAATAATAATACGCGTCTTGAGGATGTGGCAGTCGTAGTAAATAAATAGTAATCCTTCTTCCTCATCGTGAAGCCAAAGTTAATCACAAGGAAGCGTGGTTACTGCATGGCAAGTGGTAAATAGTACGAAAGTATACCTCCTCATGCCTCTCGTAGTATTTAAGAAATAAGGTTTTATTATGTACTCAAGCGTTTGTGTGTGTGTAACATGTAAACGGATCGTTTTTGACGGTTAGAGCATTTTCTCTCTTTCTTCGACATCCTCCTTCCCATTTTCCTCACATCGACGACGACGACGACGTAATAAGACAAGACAATTTACAACCACGTATACGCACACATTGAATAAACGGTTGGACCAAGCAAGAAATACGAGTTGAATATAACAATCACGAACGAACGCTTTGGATAGAAAAGTAAACCTTAAAAGCTGGCATGATCGAATATCGAATCCTTCTTGTTTGCTACTTGAACTCGTTTATATATTGGAGGAGGAGGAGAAAAAGCCACCATATGTTGTTGTTCATCTCGCTCGTACGTACTATTATGTAAAAGCATAGGATTCGATTATATAAGAAAAAATAGAAGGTCTCTTGTTCTCGGGCGTAGTAGTAAACGTGTGTGTGTAAGCGATCGAGTGTAGTAAAGTTTCTTGGGACCAAGGAGAGAGGCAGCTGATGATGATAACTTGTTTGCCTGGCTTGGGACGATAAACTTTCTTAAGAAAATGACAACTTAGGAGGAGAGAAGAGAGGTACAACCAACTACAACTGATAGTAAGGCAATCCCGCCAGAAGGAAAGAAAGGAACGACGACGACGACGACGACCAAGAAGAAAAGGTTCCTCGTAGGACGACGTTTCTTCTTCTCCTTTGGACAAATAATAATAAAACAGGCTTCTTTCATTAGCAAGAGAATAAGGGATCAAACGTATATGTAGCATGTGGACGTTGCTCTTCTACGACGTATTATTATTCTAATTTCTTTAACGGAGTTTAAATTTAGAGTGAGCATTTTACATTGATCAGAACGAAGGAAGAAGAAGAAGTGCTGACGAAGCGAAGCTTGGATTTGATTATGGCTGAGCGAATGCATAAAACAAAAGTCAAAAGTTTAGAGTCATGTTACGAACGATTCAATAATAAAAATGAAATAATTATCCGGATGTGTGAGTAGATAAAGTCGAACTCGTTATTGCGCACTATGGTCTTTAGAACTTGCACCATGAACGACTTGAGACTGTGGAAATTATATGAATGCAATCTGGATGATGAAATATATTGAATCTAAAACCAAAAGGAGGAGCAGATGCCTTGAAAGAAAGGTTGTTGTGTTGCATCGATATTATTTTCTCGTGATGTCTTTTAATCTAAAATGTACCAACTCCTCTGTCAAGTCATGTCCGTAGAGTGACGAGTTCACACTGAAGGGCGTCTTGTGTGATGGGCAGTAATAAAAATCCAGGACAGTTTGTGTGTCAATTTCCCCATTAAAATCATGTTATGTTTGCACAACTCGGAAAGAAGTTACTCGATTAAAAAGTGGGATTCTTCCTGTTTGGGTTGTTGCATAACTCAAAGAAGGGTCCATTTCTTTACTACTTGCATATGATGACTCTATATTTGACTCTGTGTGTGTGTGTGCGTTGTTTGTGTGACGAAGAAATTGAGTAAATAGATGCAAACTTATCGTGAGTAAGTGCCCTTCGAACTAGTTGGAGCCAGGCTTTGTGGGTTATTTTTCTTGCTGCTCCATAGTAGTTGAATGTTGTGTAACAACAAGTAATGTATACGGATTTATATGCATGCATGGAGTTGTAAGATTGTGGTGGTATGTTGGGTATGCATGTGTCTCATGTCGTGGTTATTGTGTTCATGTCATATCATAACTATTGTGTTTAGTAGTTATTATTGCATTGCTGTTATTTTATAATTTGGTATAACGACGCATACATGACCGAGAGTGAACCAACGGACCGTTTTAGTGGTATACAGACAGATATTTCCAGTTATACGAAGCTTGGGTATGTTAGAAAAACCATGCTTTAACCAGGCAGACAGACGACGACGAACTACAGATACGGATAAAATGAAATGGGAATGCTATCGGAAATGAAGGTGGTGGTGGTGCTGCATACGACGAAAAATCCGTCGGTTAAAAGCTTTTCTCCAGATTCGAGAGGAATTTCTTAAGTTGATGACTTTTGCTGCCTAATGTGTTGATGAATTCACTTGCTATCAGGAAAATGGGACCTCACTATCCTAAGATGAGCGAACATATTAACGCATTAAATACAAAGCTCAACTCCACGGCCACAAAAGCAATTCTTGAGAACAATAACACCAGGAGGACCACGGACAAATAACCAACAGAGCACTGAGCAGCAGGAACAACAATAACATTTAAACCTCATTAACTAACTTCACGTACGAGTTGTTGACCTAATTGAAACTGCGCAGTGTTCAAGTTGTTCATCACTCTCAGCAATTTTGGAAATTGCGTGGAAGGAAATTAATGAAATGAAACACTTTCCATTTCAGAGAAAAGTGGTTTGGACAAGTGAATTAATGATGATGAGGAAAAGAAGAGGCCCTTTGTTTTAGACGGAGGAGGCGAATGTTGATTCTTAGTTGTTGGCGTATCATAATGCGTAATAACAATAATAAGTACCCAACAAGACACTGCCACGAAGAAGAAGAACCAAACTGTGCAGTCAGGAGAGCAAGCGATGATGGGATGATTTGTGTGAAGGTGGTAGTAGATTCATACCAAATAAAATTTTCCCAGGCATCGGATGGGGTTGAGGTGAGTAAGTTAACCTCTCTTTCCCAGAGATTTTGTTAGGTTTAATACAAATTTAATGTAATGAAGCCGATGCAGCCAAACCAACGTAAACCAAAGTGGTTCAACTTGACCCCTTGGTGGTACACACAAGACGAAGTGCAAGAATGGTGCGTTGGTTGTTTGTGGTGTGTGTCCAAGTCCACCCAGCCACAAAAAGAAAACTAAATATGTAAACCGACAAATGCACCAATTCTGCATTATGATGATGACGGTTGCTCTTCTTTCAGTGTGACTGTGATCACCCATGGATAAAATTAAGTGCATCGCCCATTATCCGAGTTACTCGTCGTTTCTGTCGTCGTTATTGGTGTATGACGAAGGATAAAAATAGATTGCATGGATTTACCTGTGATTTTCGACTGCGATGATGATGAGATGATATTTGTCGTCGTCGTAGCCGTCGTCGAGTTGGAAGAAGAATCTGCCGGAGAGGACGGTCTGCTCGAGTCCTCCTCCAAGGAAGACGGTGGAGATGGAAGGCAGACGAGGAGATGATTAATTTCTTCCGAAATTTCCGGCGAGGATTGACTCGACGAGGACGAAAAGTGGCTGGTGGTACTGTGCGAAATGGTGACTGGTCCGAGGACAAGGTGACGTTGTTCAGCCCGACTTGGAGATGACGACAGGCGACGCTCCGGACTTTGCTTGCTCGGCGGCGGTGGGGGACAAGTGCATGACGACGAGGTGGATGATGTGACGGGACGAATGATGAGCAGAGAGTCGGAGGTGTCGACTCTAGATTTTGAGATCGATGCAGAGGTCACAGTTGAACTCACGGCTGATTGTTTGCAAGACTCGGTGGGAATTTGTGAACTAGAACCACTTCTTATGCAAGGCACAGCCTCCCAAATATATCTGAAATAGGAAATTTAAAAACATTGATTTTTGCGATGCATGACATCATCGGTACATTTTTGTAAATTTGAAATGCACGAAACGTTTTAAAGAATGTGAACGTATGAGCAAAAACCGTTGATTGGTGGGGTGAGCGCAGGGTACTTATGTATGTACGTAAATGAATATTCGACTTAAGATCTTTGGGTAAAACCACAGCTATGGTTCCGTGTTCATTTCTGCGAATTTTATCTGCACCCTTTTGACCAAAACGAATGCCTTGTTATTACTGCTCCATGAGATGAAAGGTACTACAATATGTTGCCCCATAATAATGCCCACAAAAGTACCTTCATCCTTATTATTGTGGAAACCTAGACTAATAACTTGCACCACCTTGTTTTTTTAAACTAGCAGCAGCAGCAACATCTAAAAAATTCTCCACGCTACTTCTGCATCTTTTTAACAAAGTCACGAATCACCAACGGTTAGATATTTTCTCATAATAAAGTATCCGTAAAAGTATGTAAAAAGAGTTTGTGAGAAACAGGTTGCAAAAAAATGTCGGTTGAGTTAAAATTCTGTATTCTTCAATCATCTTCATCGCATACATACATAAATTTCCTGCACTTGGTGCCACTAACTGACTGACTGAATAGTGCACCTTCAAGACTCTGCGTTAACTGTTCTCTTTTGTGAACATTTTTATCCTTGATTGTTATCAAGGGTTAAATATTCCACTTAAATGTTTCTCTTATCATGTCATTCACATTATCTGAGGGGTTAATATAATATAAGCCCTGCCTTGTTTGGAAGAAGAAGGAAGAGAAGACGAGAGATAAAAACGGGATGACTCAACTATTCAATAGCTGCAGTATCGAGAGAAAGAGTAGTAAATTTGGTAGGCTGGAGATGCAACAACAACTACGCTCAATCGGACTCATGGACATTAATAATAATTTTGTGATGAGACGTTTGTCGGGTTTGCTTACCTTCTTGGAGCATTCACAGGTGCATCGTTGATGAAATCAAAGTCCCACTTATTTTTATCCTGTTCCAAAATCTCGAGCACTTTCTCTCTAGCAAATTGCCCACTTTTGGGGTCCGGAGGTCCAAACAAGCACCGAACCACTTTGCACTGACGATGCGGGGGGAGGAGATGAGAACCCCCTGATGATGTAGGGCTATTAAGCATGGTGCTGGTGTTGGAGTTGTTGGAGCTGGTCAGAAATTCCGCGGACGAGCGGCGGAGACCCGCTCCGAAAACGAAGGGTCTTGTCTGTGGGGTTGCCTGGTTTGCGGAGGCGGAGGGCAAACTCCCACTCGTAGGAATAGACTCCATCATGTTGGACGGAGGACTGTACACTCGGGTACTTGTCGGTTCCCTTGCCTCGGTTAAACTGCCTCCCAAAGCCCTGCCTGGTTAAAGGAGCTCTGCCTGAGAGAGAGAGAGGACATCTCCCAATGTTCCGACTGCTTCGTGGGGCAAATTTGCATAGATGGATAGCCTCAAAACCTCTGAACGAACATTTGTGGTGGATGGAGGAAAAATGTTCGAGGGGTTAGGGGAGCTTCGATGTTGGCAGAGAGCAGCTTTAGGTGAATGCATAGATAAGTAACTAAAACAGCTCTCTCGCTCGGCACCTAAGTATTTCACGATGTGAATAACTTCTCTCTAGTTTGTTGGTCGTTGTTTGTTGGGCAACAAAATGACTTCCAAGCAGTCCCAGGTGAGGTATCTAGCGGACAGGGGGCGAACAAAACGGTAACAAAACACTTTCCCAGCAACGCTATTCTTGAAACGCGCACCAGAACTCGCTACCCTCACGAGAATCAAAAGTTAACCAACGACCTCTGAACGGTTTTTTGTATGTGATGCTGCTGAGGCCTTTCCCCCAAAAAGAAGAGGGTTCGCGTCTAAGGTTGAGCTAAATATTTCAAAACTTTTATGACGCCACACTGAAAAATATTTTTATCGTCATTTTTCGTACTATGTACCCGTAAGTCATCAATACCATTAATTGTGGGTATCACATGCAGATGCATTTGATCCGAAATTTCTTCGCGACAAGATTTCAGCATGCAAGTTATCACAAATTCGGATAGTTTTGAATACAACGATTATTTTTTACTCTGCAGTTTAAAACGTTAGATGAGAATCCTAATATTCTGTAGGAGAAAAATTACAAAGTTCATAAAGTAATATTTTAATACATTATTAAACACGTACACATTCCTTGAACTAATTACCCTTCCTGAAGAGAAGCCCTTCGGTTTACTTTTTATTTATCCATTGACATGTCGAAGCACGCGTATAAAGAAAGTGACCAAAATGATACCTTCACCATCGATCGACCCCTGCCTGTGGCAATCATCATCATCATCATCATCATGAAAAAAAAGATCTGAATCTACAACCGACTGACATACCAGATTCCTTCTTCACTTTCATTTCCAGCCAGAGACTACCTGATTGATCAGCTCGATTGCATGTGACGGTGTGATGATTACTTATGAGTTATAAATGGACTTTAAATAATCTCGAAGCGATCTATTTTTTTCTCTCCTATTGAAAGTTCATTTATTTCAGCCGTGTTTCGAACTTCACATCAGACACGTTCCAACTTTCACCTTTGACAGGAGCTTCATCAATTTCCCATTCATTGTCATGTCAGTAAATTAGGAGTACATCAGGTAAGAACTATCAAGCCTTCCAGACTCCATGGCACGGGCCTCTCTTGCTGCAACATGTACATAATAAAATATTTATAGCAATGTCCAGTTGTCTGTCCTGGAGCAATTTTTTCATATTACGCACAAGTGTCTCTCTGACTGGCTGAATAATCAATCATAAAGTTGACAACCATGCAGGTCGAGTTTGTGCTGTGCATCCCGATTCACAGCCACCGGGTGTGATCTAATAAATAAGCACATTAACCTCCTAATTTATAGTTGGTGCAATTCGGAAAAGGAAAAAGTGACGTATTTACGCAGGCAGGGATGCGGTGCATGTGGGGCTGGTCTCGTTCTGAATTGAATTGAAAACTTGAAACTATATAAAAATACGGATTCGTAAAAGTGTGCAGCCAAGTGAACTGAGGTGTAAGTCACAAAAGCGAGAGCTTCATACATACATGAGCATAATAATAGGAAAAGTAGACTCCTTTAGAAATAATAAAGTTAACATTGTACACATACGAACAATATTAATGATGCTTTCATCCACATTCCAGGAGTGAGCATCTATTGACTGATGTCAAGATTAGGAGGGCAAAAAAGTTGACTGCAAATGATAAATTATTAAAGATGCCGAAAATTTTGGGAAGATTGAAGATGTAAAATTTCAAATTGCCACTGCAGAATATTATTATAAATTTAGTTTGAGGGACCGGACTATTAACCATATAAAGTTACAATGTACACACAAAAAGTATGGAAAGGAAATGGAAGTAAGGCCATGAATGATTGACAAAGTGTGACCAATTCCTGGGGTTAAAGAACAACCGGTGGCAGTGAACCGGGCGCTAGAGACACCGGAAAATCAGTGAAATGTCCCCTTACCTTATACGTATGTACACATGACATCTGTAGCGTCGTAAAAGTTGCATGTCAAAGTCATTTCACTGCATTTTATGCTGTCTGGTTTGTATTCGTCAACTCATTTGATTATTTAAAAAAGCCAGAAATGTAAATGAGTTTCTTTTCCAAGTTTTCTGCTACCACATGCTTCTCGTATGGATTTCAAAGGTGGAAAGCAAACGTCGAAAGTGTTGAGGGCAGCTACAATAGTGGATGAAACACTTGAAGTTAGGGCGAGCAAGCGAGTCAGCTAATTTGTTCTGCCTTCCTTTCAATTGAATGTAAAGATTTGAATACGATTTTGTAATGAGAGCGTTGCTAAATTATTGAATCGTCGTCATAAATGTTGACTCGAGTGTCCTCCTTTTTTGTCATGTTTTCCTCCCCATTTTTTGATACAGGACAAAGTGAAATCCTTCTCCTCCGGCTGGATGAGAGATGCATGTGACAGCACGAGACATTTTAATTTTTCAGGGCTAACGAAACTCATAAAAGCACGCAATGAATGGAGTACGTATGCATTTATTTATTTATTTATGAATGTATGTATGCATAGCAAGGAGCCGGGATGGACGACATGAAAGGGTTGATTTTATTTAATAGAGATATAAAATGAAATAAAAGTGGACTGCGTTGAGGTGGTGCGTATTCTGTGTGCACGTGAGTTGTTCAAATACTTGCTTAATAAGCCTGATGAATGCTAACGGTTTAAAGAAGAAGAGTTAATTTGAGTGACAATCGTGATCAATTATGTTGCATTTGGCTACGAGGAGCAGCCGGTCAGGTCAACATACATACAGATGAATGCATTACATCGACATGATGAATAATAAGCCCACTTGAATATTAAACTGAAATGATATGATGGATGCAAATATATTATGTTTCCTCCTAACGTTATTGTAATGAATGGAGGCTGACAAGAAGACGAGGAATTCAACAGCAGCAAGGGGCAAAAATATCAAGTTGTCGTCGACTATTGTGTTGCAGTAGCCGTCGGTGTCTGCGAATTCATTTTATCAAATCCCTCCTGATAGTCAGTCACTCCTTCCTCTCGACAAGCCAGGTTGATAAAATTTTTGAAAAGTAAAATTTTTAAAATGCATTTTAGGCAATTAAGATTAAGGAGGAAAGTACATTGGCTGGCAGGATGAACCAGCACCAAAAGTTGGTGAATATTAACATATCAATGCAAAAATGGCCAAAATTGAGCCCACATTATTATTAATCAAGAGAGTGTCAGGAGATAAGGTTTGGCTCCGATGAGATTTTGTATGAAATTTTGTAGCTTTCCGTTGTATGAAAATTCATTTTTTATTGGCCGAGCAACAATTTTTCCTGATTAGATAATTGCACCGGAGGGAGGGAATGAAGGTGAGGCGAGGCTACTGAACTGGGAATGAATTGAATGCTAAATAAAAATAGGAATGCTGCTAGAAAAGGTAAAAATCAATCTGTTCCTTTCTACTCCAATTATCACCCGTCAGCAAACAAGGCTTAGGAGGAGGAGGAACCCGTTTTATTTAAAATGCTGAATGAATGATTGACTCAAGTGGTCAAAGGGATTGACAACATGGTGACTTATTATTGACAATCAAGTGTCATCGCCATTATGTCGCACAATACCGTAATTGTTGCAGACATAAAAATACGCTTGCATTCAAGTGGGCTCCACAGATATACTTGATTGATTTCCCAGTACTACATGCATAAAAGGAGAAAGAATGTACAGGGTGTGAGTGAACAAATGACGGCATGAATCGTGTGGTACTTGAGATCGAGGTATCCTGCGTTCATAATTGCTACGGAGTAAAATTGTAACAATACTTTGAATTTTAATACCACTTATTTCCAGTCGTCCGACTGGACACCTATTTAGTTGACCTCCTGGTTCTAGTTGCTTCACATTTTGATCCAATTTTGAGAATGGTTTTCTGTACGTAGATGAGACAGATGTGAATTTTGTACGTTGTTGCAATAGGGCAAAAAGGGTATTTATGTACATGTACAGCAAATTTTAAAGTCTCAGAAAATCTCTCCAACAGTGTTTCACTTTTTTGGGGGATGAAACAAAATGCTGAAGTTTTTAGCTTAATGTGACTCCAAATTCATCAGAGCAAGACACCGTGGTAGGTAGGCAGACAGGAAAGGAAGGCCAAGTGCCCAGAGGAAGGGAGAGAGATGATGCCATCCAGAGAGCGGAATAGAGCTTGATTGCTCATCCTTAAACAAGTGTTGTTGGTTTGCTTACACAAAGCTGCAAATCCTATTTAATACCTACACCTTTCTCCATAATAGTTTGTCTCCCTTCTTATCTCAGCTAAGGAAACTCATCTACCGAGTATCTGCAAACCTGCTTGGCTCAGTTTCAGTTGTCAGTTTGACTCTTTTTGAAAAAGATGAGAAACGACGAAGAGGTATTCAGTTGGCACCCCAAAATAAGTAGAAATGTATGGTTATTTTGCCCTTAAAAAACTAAATAATTCCGCTCCTTGACATTTGTACATTGTGTTATTGGATTAAAGCAGGATTTGGACCGCATCATGAAATTTCAGCCTGTTCATATATAATTATGACAAATGTTGTTCAGGGAATCTAGCGACTGGTTCAAGTAGACAGAGACGTCATGCTTCATGGAGAAGAAGCTTTAAAAATGTTTAAAGTACTCGAGAAGTCTCATGCATCCCTCGTCCAGACCGACATTTTCATAAAGGAAGGTTCAGGGTGGTTGGCTCGAGACAGGAAATCACTCCAGCAGCAGAAATGCAGACAGAGCCTTGTACTTTGGGGTACCTTCAGCACCACCCTTCCTTCCAGTACCACGTACTGAATCATCAGATCATATTATTACGTAGTGTGTGCCGGAGAAGCAGCTTGGCCACGGTGGAATTTAATTCTTAACGAACCGCGTGTTCTATTTATGATTGCTTTAAAGGTGTTTGCGACTTTTAAAAATCAAATCATTTTTTTAAAGCCCAATAATCCGGATACAAATGCAGACAATAAGCGAGTATTATTAGACCAACAACTGCTTGTCTTTCATCCGTAAGAAATTTATTAAAATGATGAATTACACTACCCAATCAACATTTTTACCTAAACAAATGAAGCAATTATCTAATTACGGATTAAAATTATTACCACTCGCTCCATGGCGTGCAGGTGTCCCTTCATTTACATGTTCTGCCTGCTTCCTTCCTTTTAAAGACCGGATTACGAATTTGTGGTGGAAGTTGTGCTGAAATGTTTCAACCTGCTGCATCCCTGATCCTAATCTGGCCAACTTCCACCCATGTCTCATCTTCCTCCCTTTATACATTTTCAGCCACAGAGCCTTAACTAACCAGAAGGCATTATAAGTTGGTGACTAAGGTGGCTTTGGAAATGAATGAAGCCCATAAAATAGTCAGCACGAAACACACCTTATTTTGTAATTGTTCCCTTCCACCAAGCAAGACAGAGGCCGAGATAGCGATCATTAAGTAAGAAATCCGAGACACACTTCACTTCTAAATAACTCGGACTTATTAACAAGGGTGTTTGGCATCGTTTGAAAAGTCGTTGTTGTTGGAGAGTCGTGTGGATTTTGATAATCGATAATCACGACATAAACAAACAGCAGAGAACCACAACTTTCAGGATTATCAATCTCTCTCTCGCTCTTTCTTTCTCGATGGTTAAGTGCTTACCCGTGTCAGTCAGTCAAAAGAGATAGCGGAGAACAAAACAAGGCACACACTGCTTACTTATCCTTTTAGTCACTACGTACTGGCACACGTCGTGCTTATGAAGCTGTTCTCCTGTTCTTCGTCGAGGCAGGTGCGGGTGAGAAGGCAGAAGACGAAGAACAATTAATTTTTAAAGAATAAAGACCGTGACCCGTTCTGTCCATTATTTCATTCCACTCACTCACGCTGTTGCTTCTCCGTTTTGGGTAAAGTTTCTGATTTTCTGAAACAGGGTTGAAGTGCATATAAAGCCTTTCTTCAGAAACGTGTGGTTTAAGGATTGAAAATAAATGAAAATTTGAGAAATTGCTGGGTTAACAACTGCAGACGCGGGACAGATGTTGTTGTGCTTTGCAAAGGTTTCTTGGAGACACGAGATTTAGGTGTATGCATATCGAAGGAAAGTTCCGTTATCGGGCTAGTCGAGCTGTTAAGAAATCTTAATTTAATTTCGGAAAAGTGGTGCAGGTGCCACCAACCAAAATATACATACGCACGACTGGTTTCTCCTCTTGCATTGCAAAATTATGCCGATTGAATTTAGATTGGAGATTTGACTACAACTCGAGTACTTTGAAAGTTTCAATGAGACGAGAGGATTTTATGGAAGTGACATGAATGAATGTGTGCTGCGATTTATAACAAATGTCTTTGTGCTGATGGTGATGGTGTAGTATGCAAATAAATTACAAGATCAGGGAAATATATAGTAAGTTAATTATTCGATCCATTTATTTGGTGATGAGTCCAAGTACAAGTATTTTGCCTTACATATTGTATTTATGTATGATATCTTGCTGACAAAGTTTAGCATACGGCTCAACAAGTGTAAAATATTTCTTTTTATGCAATTATATTACTGTATTTCTATATTGACCAGCGATTATTTTTCTTAGTGATAGCTGGCAAAATTGGGACACCACATGGGTACAGCTCTTAACCACTAATGCATTTTAATTGTATAATAATATATATCAAAATTCATACAGCTATATAACAATAATATTTACCCAAAGATGGGGTACGTCAAAAATAACCTCTAAATAAGGCACGTCAATTATAATCTAGCAATGTGTGTCATGTCACATATATGAAAATAGAGTAGCATTACTCTAATTAGTACTCTATATACACAGTGAACGCTTTGTACTTAATTATTGTAAATTATTCCTAGTTTTCCTAACTGGGCGTTACACAACAAAAAAAAATCTTCCGAAAATTTATCTTTAAACAAAATCTAGATTTCAACTCGTCACGTACCTGAATATCAAACAAATATTTAAATCATATTCATTACAATTTCATAATACAATAAATTTTACAGAAAAGAGAAGAAGACAACATCAACCACCACAATTCTCAATGGCAGTACACGTAGTTCATGGATTAAAGATATTAAGTTCAGTACGATATATTATTATATCTTTCTTCATTTATATCACGTTACCCTCTTTCCCCACGTTACAACATTTGTAGGTTACAGACACGGGTTGCTTGCTGCATCACTAGTAAAATATTAGTATCTAAATATAATATTTGGTATTTACTACTGATAAGTAATTTATTCTTAGTAACTATTGCTTCTCAGACGAAGTGACTTTTGAGATTGCCAGACTAGAATAAATATTTCTGAAGATTGAAATTTAAGCGATAACGATAATGTCACAACAAATATAATGAAGGATTTTACTTCATTTTCTGCGTAACATACATAGGAAGAACTGATAATGATTTTAAAGATACACAAGAAAAGGATAAGGGAGCATTAAAAATAAAACGCTTATAATATGTTTATAATACTAGTGTATATGCAGTAACAAGCTTTTCTGTATGAATCGACTTTTATGGACTATGCTGAGGTGAACAAAAAATTGCAAAGTTGTACAGAAAAATATAAGCACTTCTTGAACTTGGACTACAATCAAATTTCAAAATTGCAACTTTGCCTTCCCGTTTAAGCAAATATCTACAACAACCTAAAGCTAACAAGTTTGATAGGATTTTTATTTTTAATATATTATAATCTGTACATAGCCTAGATTTTGCAGTTTGCTTCTACAGACAAACTCGGAATTTTGTTCACCCTTTTGTGTAATAATCCACGAGTGGGATTGTTTTGTAACACCGATGATGATGACGATCGATACCTCCAATAGGATACGCAGTGAGAAAATACAGCAAGGAGAAGGAGAGTTTGAGATTTATGAGCCATCTTCACAAATTACAAGTAAAACTTGCAATGTGCAAAAGTAATAATGAGGAATGAAGGAGAAGTAGAGATAGCGAAACGGATGTATAGTTTGAGCATCGTCATCTTGACCATTGGCGACGGTCTCTTAGAATCCTTTCTTGACATAGGCGAACTCTGTAAATCAAACAAGAATAAGACCCATTATTGCAAAATTCATAATAACAAAGTAAGCGAGGATGTCAACTGTTTTCCCTCCATATTTTCCTCCACCTCATCATCAGCATCATCCGACGCAAACGTGAACATTATTATTATGGATAACTTTGGATGGAAATGTCATAAATTGGTTTGGTTAAGTAAAAGATAATGCAAATCAACCTAGGCTAGATAATGGATGAATGAGAATCATTTGTTAGTACGCATGCAAGTATATAATAACTTGGTGAACCTCCTTTGATAAAGGAATTAACTTCTGCCTACTGCCCACCTACCTAACATAACCTACTCTTCTAGTCAATCTATGGTTGACTTGGCTTGGTTCGGCTTATTTATTTGGTTTCATACTTATTTGTGGAATTTTGAGCATTTGAAGTTCAACTCGTCAATCCAAGCTCAACTTACGTGTGTACAAGAGTTATACGAGATAACATTAATGTCATGAGTCAAACCGAGTTATCATTATCGCAAGCAATGAGGCAAACGCGGGTGGTGGCTGCGGCATAATATAATTTGTATAAATTAGTCATGATAATAAAATGACAAAGGAGATGCCGGACAGCAAGAGCCAGACTTGAGACTACTGCTGCTGCTGCCGCTATTCAAGCCAAACTGATGAAGGACATTTCATATCTACATCATAAGAGGAAGAAAGAATGAACAAGTGAAGTCTAATAACTAATGGTTGGTATTCATAGTTATTGGAACACGTCCAATTGTCCACGCCATCACTGGATTACGTAACCGTCATGAGTTGGAATGTGTGTATATGTGCATGCAGCTTTGTCTAGTAGTTATCAAGGTTGGCAAAAAGCCGGTCAAAAATTGGATAGATAACCCATTGTCATAAAGTTATGCCATGTACCTACAATAATAACACATAGCACAGCTAACTAACTGCCCGCTCTTGCCAATTGCGTCGTCAATACTTTTCAGAATGAAATGATGATACATATGCATGCATGCTTGTATGTATGTACGTACTTTCAGGGGGACAAAACTGACGGTTAAAAAAATCAGAGGGAACAAAACTAATTTAATGTGTTTACCGAAAAGAAGAAAGGAAAGGATGATAAACAACAAACAAATAAACGTGCATGCATGTCCAGTGAGAAGGGAGTAAAGTCAAAAGAACAACGGATCCAGGAAATCTTATGATGATGAATCCTCAGTCTCAGTTTCGCATCTGTTCTTTCTTAGTAAACGGAGAAGAAGAGTGTGTTTCCTTCACAAACTCTCCCTCTCTCACATTTTACGTCGTTTTATTTTTGAAGAAAACACAAACACCCATTATTCGAGAAAGGCTCAAGGTAACAGTTTTCCCTCCAACGAGTAGAACCACATGTCAATATTTTATTAAGCAAACTACCTTGACTAAACTAACCCAGTCAACCTCAACACGTTTTATTATTACGACGACGACGATCTCACACTTTTCCATCATGATTTTCGCTTGGCTTTTGCATGCACACGTATGTACAAGAAGCAAACCAACTGGATATGACGATGAAAATGAAATACGTACATATGCATACAGCATGGAAAAGATCTTTCTTTAAACCGTTTCACACTACCTTCTCACCTGAGCTACTCAAGCAAGGCATGCATGGAGAGCACATGTTTGGCGAATTGTGCAATGACAACGATAATGAAATAAGTTATTCCTCCGCATTCGTAGTAGAGTGGATTGTAATGTAAAATGCAACACCTGGCTGGATGCGGTGCGGTTACAAGTACAAACAGTAAAACGAATGTGAAGCTTAGAGTGCAAAAAAGTTTGCAGGCTAGGATGATACCAAGCGAATGTAGGTGACTGGAATAATAAGACAAGAGAAGACCAAGATGGAAAACTCGTCCTCCAAACAAGGCCTGGAGGTGGATTGGATTGCAAACAACGGTTACGATGCTGTGCTTGCGAATCTCTACGTCTTTGAGTAGCTCGTAACCAAGCAATTCTCTAGTAGTTTCTACCACCATATGCACATGAGTAAGTAAGCCAAGGTGGTTTCAAGTTGAAGTTCTCTCAATGAAGTATACAATGCAATGCGCACTAACTGGTAAAACTATTATTGTTCATTCTTCCTTGTGAATCGTCACAAGGAGTAACAATGCCCGAGCCCGCTCTCTTTTTATGTCCGTGGATGTTTTCTTTGCGAATTGTGACGTAAGCCTCTAACAAACGATCGAGTGATTATTTGGAAATGTGTCAGGATGCTCTTTCTTTGTGTTTGCGAAAAAACTAACCTATCACCGTATGACTTTGTCGGACGTTTGTTGGCTATTTGGACTTGTTGATTTTGAAAATGCATAATGAGAAAATAATGAGCAAATGTGGATGACTAGGTCATAATGAATATGTGTATAATTGATGTTTCATGTACTAAAATATTGGCATTATTATTCATCTTTCTTATACGTAATAAGTTATATGTAAAATCTCTTTGTACAATTATTTGAGAGAAAGACGACCAATTCTCCCACCAAAGCGTTAAATCAATATAATAAATATTTAACGCTACAAAGATATGTTTGTTTGCCATTTTCCATTACCATTCAGCTCCTACTGCATGCTGTTGAGTTTTGGGTAATAATAGGCAAGCTTGAATTGGGCTCAGATTTGGCACAAATGGAAAGCACCATATGCTGATAAATGATTTCACGAGAAATGAAATGCTATGAATTTAATAATACAAGCATCACCTCCCTCAATTTGGATGTTTATCTTGAATAGATAGACAATTAGCCGCGTATTTTGCCATTTGACAAACAAAGCAGAATAAGAACACGAATGATCATGATTTGGTTTGGTTTAGAGACGAGTTACTGGACGAGTTTATTATTCGTCACTTAAATCCATGCCACTCCAAGCCAACTCAACTGTATAACTACCAAGGTCCAATAGTGATGATGATGATGAGGTGTGTAAAAAGTAAAGCAAAATTTTCCGTACCAAACGTACCTGTCAAGCTGGACTGCTTCATTGCTTTGGAGGCAGAATGAGCTCGCGCAGGAGATCCATTTCGGATTCGGAGACCTCTTAGATTATCCCTGTTACTGGTGGGGGACTCAAAGCTGAAGACTCCAACGGAGCTGCGACGCTTGGTAGGGGTCCTCATGATGTCAGAGGGAGTTGTCATGACGGGAAAATTTCTAGAAAACGTCGTATTGTCCGGCAATGGGGAGAAGGCCTCATCCACATCATATCGATCGTCCCCCTCATAGTAATCGTGACATTCCTCAGCGAGAGGATTTGGTGATATTGGAGGAATCGTTAAAGGAATTGGAAGGGGTCGCTCTTTCTTCACAAGTGGGGGAGGTGATACCAATGACTCTTGAGTGCAACTCGATTTCTGACTTGCAGAAGAAGCAGCAGGGTGAGAGATGGGCTCTTTAGCACATGAGGATGAAGGACAGTGACCAGGAACCGAAATGGAAAAGAGGTCGAGGAGACTAAGTTCGCACTTGGGTTTGCGATGATCTCGAACGAAAGTATCTGAAAAGTTAACTTGCATTCCTTTACTCAAGTGTGGTTCTGTTTCAGTCTGAACGGAAACATATTCCAGATTGATGGTTATTGGTGTCGGGGCGTCGGACATGACCAGATTTTCAGGTACAAGAGTTGTCTCTTTAATTTTTTGTTCTTCATCATATTTGCCTACTGAGAGCTCAGTTATGGGAGCAGAAAGCAGCGTAAATGGACGAGCATTTGGGGCAATTGGAGCCTCAAATCGGATTCTATCACATTTCCACATGTGCTCTTCATCATACGTTTCGTTCCATTCGTACTTGGGGGGTTTCGCACTCTCTTCGGCACTGCTTGGTTCTAACGTTGGAGGGGCATCTTTTCCAGTAATGTTGAAATTCCACTTCTTGGAGAAGGCCCACTGATTTTTCTCCTCTACTTTTTGAGCCATGGTTGCGCAGGCTGAAACGTCCGGAGGTCCAAATAAGCATCTTACCGGCCCAGGTCGACGAGGTCCTCCCGTGAGGGGAGCCAGGCCGAGTCTTCTTCTAAAAATGTTCGCAACATTGGGACTGGTGGAAGGCGCGGTTGGAGCAGGGATAGCTTCAACTTGGGCCACAACTGCCATGATGCAATTTATTTATTATATGGAGACGATGCAAATTATCTTCCAATCTAAGGTGGAATCTGAAAAGTAATAATATGCAAAAGGTTAGTGTAATCACCACGTAAAGCTGTATGAGAAATGTGTGCGAAAGATGAGACGCCGGAGATAGAGCGAGAGGTGTGTGTGTAAAAGTAGCCGTTGAACAGTCCCAAAAATTCACCTTCCGTGTGTATCTCAAGTTCAACGAATCTCACTATTACGCTAACGTTTTCTACGAGGTCCTACTAACAGCTTCACTTATCTAAGTATCCATCATTCTCCATTTTACTACTAATCATCGCTTCACAAATGCTATCGGATTATGACCTTCATAAAATAAGTAAAGTCTACAAGAAAGAATTGATAGCTTACCTTGAAATCCAAGGGTATCCACGTGTTGAGAGTTTGCCCGCCTAAATCTTGCCGCTTGTAGAATTCGTCCCTTAAAGTCTATCTTGACCAATTTTGTAACTTCTACTTCCACAAATTTAACTGGCAACTATAATGCAACACAAAGTCAATGTGATAATGTCTTTTTATAACTTTTTAACAATTTGTTAAACAACAACGAACCTACACAGGTAGATAGTACGGCAAGTGTGCCTCGAGGAGACTTGTTAACCGTTGGAGACTCAGCATAAAACTGAAGCTTGACTCATGCAGGCCACGAGTAGTAGTAGAGTAGAAGTAGTTGGAGGGGAACTTCAGATAACAGCTCAACCCACAGCGTTCTTGTACAAGTAATAAGCACGCTGCATACCGGGTTGAAGATGACGGTTTGGGTTGCTGCTGCACTCACTCACTCCAAATCCAAGCCAAAATGACTAATATATGTTCTTCCCTTTTACACTTATATATCTTAACAGGGACCCGTCTTTATGGCACCATAGGAAAATCCAGTCTTCTTAGTCTTTCACCCTAAAATGAATTCATAATAGAAACGTTCAAGTAACAACTTTAAACTTTAATAATATGGCAATTTGGCAACAACCAATGACCAACAACCAGTTAAACCTCTTATCTTTTACCTTTGTAGAACGAGAAGAAGGGTCTCTTTTAGAAATTGCAAATTCTGTCAATGGATTAGTGCTTCTTGAAGGAATGATATAAATATGATAAGTCGACCACCTGTCGAAAAAAACGCAAATGTAACATAATATAATATTTAGTATTGTTGCAAGAAGTTATAGATATTGCATTGCTAGTTACGTGTTCTTCAAGGATTCGGAAAAGGTAATTGAGAAGGGTTCATTCGCGTTCCTCGTTTCTTACTGTAAACAACAAAAATAACGACAAGAAAAGATATATTAGTCGACTAAATGAACAGTTATGATCTATAAAGAATATTTTTTAGTTTCTATACTTTAATAATGATTGCTTCCTATCATAAACTGTGGCCATTTCAATTAATATCTTTTAAATAAATAAATCGTTTCAGCTAAATAACAAACGTACACACGACGACTGTGAAGTGTGAACTCGTGTGCAGCAAAATGACGAATTTTTGCCGGCTTTCAACCGTCTTACAATCTACGGCCATTCTCATTTCTTCTTGGGTAGTTATTTTATGAGAATGTGAAAGTACGCCTTAAATAACGAAATAATTTTAAAATACTTTAAATCTTACCCAGAATTTGTTCTTATATTGACAAGATGTAGTTTTTTATTAGCACTTTAGAAATTTTTATGATGAGGAGGAGATTGCAAGGTTGAAAATGATAAAAAGTTTCACTCTTAAAATTTAAAGAATGGTAAAAAATTACAAAGATACAAATTGGAAAAAATGAACTATTTAGTTGCCCAGCGAAGATGAGAATGAAGATAAAATTTTAAATGACCTGTGGCAGCAGCCTCAAGAAAATTCTCGTCGCAATTGAGACCCAATGGGGAGCATTCATGTACTGCGTCTGGTTAAATTCATGTCCAATTAAACTCTTCAATTCCCACCATATTTTTTAAGGGAGAATTTTCGTACATTTTAAAACGTAGTTCAGTTTAAGGCCGGGGGGAATGAGGTGAAAGTGAGACACGTCCTGCGTGGTGGCACTCGCTTCTCACCGATCTGAACTTTCTCGGTGGTTGAGAAAATTCAGATAGGTTGATGAACTTTAGTCTGGGTTTTCGGCTGGCGAGACTTTTTCCAACTGGACAAGATGATGAAAGCATGATAATTTGGGGAACTTTTAAAAACAGTACAATTTTTTATGACGCATAATTAATTAAAGTATGCTTACGGATTAGTATGAAAAATAACAATTTTTGACCAAAAGCTGTGTATACGATTATGAAATTTTAGCTCATTTTTTGAAGATTTTCCATTTTTTTAATTTTTGTAACCCAAATTTTGAAAGGTAAAAAATATGTAACTAATGCTTCTTCATTTGAGAGAGTTTGATCATTTCCCTGGAATGACATTTGATTCTGTTTCTTTCTAGCTTTTTGTGACTGATGGTTCATTTTTTACGCTTCAATTCCATGCGAAGGGTCTTTTTGAAATTCACTCCGACCGAATTTGGCTACCAACCTGTCAGATCTGAAGAAGGATTACTGCATAGTTTTCACCGCAATGTGTGGACGGATGCAATTGACGAGGGCAAGCGTCACCTCAACGCCTAGTTCAACTAGTAAATCGTTCAAGTTTCCTCTCTTTCCTCGCCTGATTATGACGGATGAAGACGGATTATCATAATCGTCCGCATTTTTAACCTCCCTTTTACACGTAATTACCTATGTACTGCCCGACAAGCACTTTTGTAAAATGAGCAATTTGTGGTTTCTTTTGTTTTGCTAATTTCTTTGTTCTGAATTCAAGGAAGTGGTGGTTCGATGCAATTTATGGTGATTGCAGTTGTACATTCTTGCAGCTGAATTGCTCAACTTATTAAGCATCCAAATAATCCAGGATTATCAGGAAGTTAAAGTTTTAATGCATGTATAATATGTGGATGTGGTCACAATTTTCAAAATTTTCCGGGGTTTCGAAACCTCAAACTGTGTGTTAAAGCTTATGATCACCTGGGTTTTGAACTTGTTCAGGATCTAATTATTTATCCGGACCATGGTGGAAATATTAAATTTCGTTTTTTGTTTTAATGGGTGCATAGAGCAATATGTATCTAATGATGAGTCGTGTGTGTATAAATGCGATGCCACCCCACCAATAGTTTTAGTACGAAGTCGCATACATATGTACATGTTTGCATGGCGCAAGCAGGGGTCATTGGTGGTGGCGTTTGTGCTGATGGGTCCGGGTCGCTCAGTGCAATGCCGCAAGTCGAGATAGGAAAGGGTGGACTGGCTGAATGGCGAAGGCGTTGATCCAGGTGTAAATTATCCTGTAATCATTTCTCCTCCATCATAAGATATCACCTATCCACCTGGTCCAGCATTTAATAATATTGAAATGGAAAACTTGCTCATAAACGTAATGAACCCTTTTAGTCGGCTCATCACTGATCATGCAGAGAGAAGACTCACCAAAGCCTATTTCTGCTCTTATCTGCTGCTGCTGGCTGGCCAGTAGTGGAAAATCCATTATTTTTCGGCGCAACAACTGCACTTTATCATAATTCGATGATGATGTGTGGCAGACGTGTTTAATAAATGCTTTGTTTTATTTCTTTATGCAGCAGTGAGAATATAATGGAGGGGGTGAGGGCAAACATATCTGGAATGAATGCATATTGAGGCAGGATCGTGTATAGGTGGCTTTTAGATGGGATGATGACCATATTGTTACATCATCCTCCAACCCTTCCTTGTTTTGGTTTGTTACTCATGTAAATGTAAATCTGATGATTTGGTTGCAACAAAGCAAGGGATTCAAAGAACATGCATAAGGAATATTTATTTACTGACTAATAATTGTGAATATCTAATCCTAATCCTTAGTATGCCACCGTAATAATAGTAACAATGGGTAAATTTTCATGGTTTCTTTATGAAAACCAATTAAGCAAACCAATCGAGGAAGGTAAGTCCCACACTGCAAGCTGAATCCATGCACTTGAACTTTTAAATGACAAGAAGAAGCAAATGATTCAGCCCAGAGGTAAAATCACTTCTCAAAAACAACTGCTTCTTCCGACAAATACATGTAACACTCGCCGCTGTTGTTATATAATCATCGTCTCTCCTAAATTGTATTTCTATTTTTCATTGCTACTTTCTTTCTCCATTTACTTCTAAGGGCCGTGGAAGTTTACGAAACGGTAGTATGTTGCTGCTCACGAATATCCGTAAACGAATATCCGTACACAATTTTTTTTTCAGTGGTTTTGCCGCAATGCTTACTCTCCATGTACGAAGTAATGGAACAATAGTGACATTTAAATTTACGATAAATTGGGTTTGTTCCGCGATGTGTGTGAGCTGGAAAGAAATCTTAATTTACTAAAGGTTCTAAACCATAAACAAAGCGCCCGAAATGATCTTTACCTTAATTTCCTTTCAGATCTGGCTGATTTATAGCGGAACATTGAATTATATTTAGAATGGACAACAAACCGTTTAGAGTCCCGTGGTTAAGTTTGACTCTTTTAAAGTTTCAGAAAGAAATTAACACCATTTGTACACACGGCTTTTACTATGAGAAGAGTTCTATGATAATTCGTGCACATTTTTGACGAACTGGACACGTAGAATTACAATTTTTTTTTACATAAATGTGGAATTTGAAATTTGTTAGTTGTGCATTTGTACATAGGAATAATTATTTCACACTGACTGAGGTGAAAAAATTGGACTGATTAGCAGGCTCCCTTCCTTCCGGATCAAGATTTTGTTTCCTATATAAAATTGGAAGGGTTGTTTTTAAAAATCATGTAATAAATAATGTAGCCAATGCCTGTTATGTACTTTAAAAGGTAAAGAGCTCATCACTCTCTTCCGGCTTGGCGAGCAACCGATGAGGTGCAGAGTAAAAACTTTTACTAATTCACCCACCAAGCACATGATATCACGGACACAAGGAAAACCAATATCGAACTGCATGCACGCCCAGCATAAGTAATTCCTCATTGTCATCGCATTTCGACCAAAACTTATTTTAAGCTTTCCGAAAGCTGGGCATTAGTCTCCTCGTGAGAGTGAAAATACTTTGTCCCTCCTTCTGGTTTCCCTGCAGCATGTGAATGAAACAATGAAATGACATTTAGCTGTCCGGCGGAAGTGATGGGTTCTGGTTACACATTTACAAATCGGGGAACTAGTTGGGCAGGTAATAAGGATCTAATGTGTAAATCTTCCTGTTTTCCGGTGTCATGTGTGCCCTCCACTTGACCGGATTACCTTGCAATACAAATACACAATTGGATCGGGTGGACTGTGGGAACAGACTAATAATAATCCTACCGTGACCACCTCACTAATTGAACCGGGTGATTGGATTATTTGTTGGCAACAAATTTCCCATAACCGTCAAATCAGGGGAAATTGAGTTGAGACACTAACTTGTGCACGACTAGCAAAATTACTTACCGTCAGAATCAGCAGTATTTCACATCAGTCGTAAATTCATGTGCGGGTTGGTTGATTTGGTTGAGCAGTGGTTATCGGATGAAATCCAATTCATCAAGAGTCTGTGGATTGAATGGGAAGAGAGGATTTCGGAAGGGTTGCTTGCGACTATGGATCATGAGTATCTGCAACCTTTACTTTTTTATTATTTTTCCAATTTATTCCAATGGTCCTTCACCACCAAGTGTGCACATACGTGCATCCCTTTAAATGATGTTGAATGTACAACAAATACATATGAACACTGTAATCCACAATGGGGAATTACAATGAAAATCAGATTCTCAGGTGGATGCAAATCCAGACACAATTGCCCATCACCAATAATTCTATGAATAAGCTAAACCCTAAAAATGGATTTCTAAGGTGAGACTGGATTATGTGTGGTTAAAATTGAAAAACAATCATCTACCGACAGAGAAAGCTAAAATTTTACACGGATGGATTTTAAAATTTCTTTCTGCAATTTAGTTTGCAGATTCTACATCATCATAATTAACTCTGGGTATTTAGTTCACGGAAAACAGTGTTACTAACTTTTTGTCTTTTATTTTCCTTGTAATTACAGGTCACCTAAGAAAATCATCTCTCCGATAAATATTATCTTCCTATACTTATTTGTTGCATGTAAATATTTGTATGAAATACACTAAAGCTTTTAAATAGCCCAGAATATTTCTCTGTATGTTCAGATATAGATTTAAGAGTATCTTTTTTTAATCGGGACGAGAATCGGAAGAATTATTGGTTTCGGATATCCGACGAATTTGTATTTATTTACATTTTGTACGGACTGTAATGAATTCAGGGATACAAAAAGTATGCATCCAAAATATTTGACAAGCAATTTGTTTAGTGACAATATCATTATTTATATTCTCATCCTCGACAGAACAAAGTAATTCATGCGATCAAACAAACTCGCCACACGATTAGAGATATGCATTCATCTTATGAGGTTTGGTATGTTTACAGTATTCTGAAGAGGAACATTTTTGCATTTCTCAGATCCATTCATCCCTTCCTGTTGATATGTATATACTTTTGCATAGCATCTACCTTCTCCGTTGGGCTATAACTTTGGAGAACGTGAACGAAGGGTAGCATCAGCATTATATTGCGCCTGGTTTATTCGCATGCATGCAGCTAAAAGTTCATGCATCGTGACATGTGTGCCTTATCAATTTTTGGGAATAAATTGGAAGGGTGGGACCCTTTGATGGGTTTCACTCACGACACGCTGCTGTTAAGGGCATCATTATTTTTGGGCTTGTGAGTGGTTATTGAATTATGCGAGAATTCAGAGGTCTTGCTGGCCTCAGCCAGCAAGACTTATATGTACGACGAACTAATAACAGGGAGGAGAAATGGGAAGAATTCGGCATGTACTTGTGAATTTGGTCGCTTATTCATATATGTGACAAAATATGTCACGAACCGATACTCCATTCCATTCCCATGGATCAGTCAGATACAAAAGCTATCTATGCTTGTGATGGTCGAAAGCGGCTGTTTTCATGTTGACGTCTTCGAGAAGAATTCAGTTATGCCTGTCATTTTAATAGCTTTTGTCATAATATGTGTGTATACAGCCTCTTTTATTTAAGAATGCTCTCCGATTTACCGTAAAATATCTGAAAGGCACGCTACTAAAGTATTATGAGTGCGTTTAGAAAATCTCAAAGTGCCCACACAGAGAAACTTTCCATTTTATAACAGCAAAATGAGTGATGTGACATGGGATGACATCGCTTCGGTCGAGGGATAATTTTCCAAAATGGTCAGAAATCCGACACATGTTACCTTTCAGTGAGAATAATAAGTTGCAAGCAGTAAGGGTTGACTTTTATGGCTCCTCTGCTCCGTTGTTTCAGTAAAGTTGAGAAGATTACTTTATTCGATTTAAGTTATGGGAGGGTGGTTGGATATGAATTGTTTTAAGCTCTTGTTTTATGGGTGGCTTTGCCTAAAAGGCAACATGTGACACATTTCTCCTGGTAGTGGAAATTGATACTGGCACAGATGTACCGTCATCCTTCCACCACCCACCCAATTGACTGACTGCTTACCTTGTGCAATTCACTGTATCATGATCAATGTGTTGTTTAAAAGGGCTAATAATGCTTTTGTGCATTGTTCTCTTTTGAATCCAATGCAATGTCATGCTGTGTCACGCCATTCGGTGAAAATCGGGGAATTGCAGGGGTGGTGTCATTAATTGTCATTGTAGTATTGCAAGAAGGCACACACACACACGTGTGTGTGTGTGTGCTATCCGGAAAAAAATATAAACTTATGGGTTGGCAGTTCAGGTGTACGCAAAGTGAGCATGCATGCAATGACATCCGTGGGCACGAGACTTTTCAATTAAACTTTAACTTTTTAAGGGCACAAGTAAAAAATAACCCCAGTGGAGATTTTTTTCATGTTCGTGTCCCGTGCCAAGGCTTAACGAAATTGAAATAGTTTTTACGCCATTAAGTTCATTTATGGCATTGCAACAATAATAACATTTGCAGACATTGTTTAATGTCAGCATGAATAAAAATAAACCGGGTGTCCGAATCCGAACGCGAATAAATGTATTTCTAAAAGTTCATTTGCATGACTGGTTACTGTGCCAAGTCCCACACACGAACTCTTCTTGCATACATTTAATGAAATTGACTTGTTGTATAGCTAAATGTGGATCTCTGCATGTTCGTGTCTGTCAAATTGTCAAGTCAAATCAGGAATAAAATCTGACCCGAAATCAGGAAATCTGCCCTCATCGTCATCACCTGCAGTGAGTTAGCTACACAGTGCCCTGTCAAAAATGGTGAGTCTCTGACGACGACGGAGAGGCTACTTTTGTCCCTTGTCCGTCTGTCGCCAGCAAAATAACTGGAAAATTGATTGCTCACTGTTTTAGAGACGTATATGGACTTGCTGTGTGTGGTTTTATAATTTTAAACTATACATATTTAACCCATACAATTTAGGCGCGCTCAGTTATCTTGTGTCACTAACAACTAAGGACAATTAAGAAAATTATTAACTCAACCAGAAAGCAGTACAAGTAATCAGTACTGTGTAATTGAGTTCAGTCAAAGTTCACGAAAAGCGTCCTTCCTTAAGACGTTTTTGGAATTTGACTTCATAATGTTCATCCCGGACCTTCCTCAAAGCAAGCGCATACCACAAATGTACAACCCTAATCTCTTGTATGAGTTGTTGTAATAAACCTTTTAAAAAGTCAAACCCAACTTTAACCAAGGCACAGGGAGTAGATAATGACGGAAGGTGCACCAAAGAACAAAGGAATTATTAGCCCTTAATAAAATAGTCATCATGTTAAAAGCACCGACGCATTAAAGAGTAACGTACGTGGGATAATCCCTTTACCAAAGTTGTAGGTTAAATTGCCGACCCAGCCAAATGAAGTCTACATCCGAATAACCCCGTCAGCATCATCATCCTCAAATCAAACACAATTTTGACAATGCCACATGACAATTATTGCATCCACGACTGGATTGATCTGATGAAAACCGACCTAGCGGACTCTTCAAGGGATTAGGATTACAACTTTCTGCCGAGTATTTTATTTATATTGGAGTCCTTCATTTTCCAGCAAGTAATGTTATTTCCATCCATTCACATGTATTAGTTGTTGGCCAAGTGCTCTGCTGAGCCTTTTCTTCTCCCATTAAGTAAACTAACATGACATCAGGAGTGGATGTTAATGGGTCCCATTATTTGAGAGAATGGGGAAGGTGTGTGGTTTTAGATAAGGGCATGTACATATGTACATGCATACAAGGGATTAGATTAAACGGATACTCAACCGACTGTGATGACGACGACGACGACGACGACGTGTCTCTCTCCCCTTGTTAATTCGACTTAAGTGTTCCGCGTCCTGTCCATTTTTAGAGAGAAAGGCCAACGAGATTTCAACTTTGAGGAAACACACCACAAATGAATGAATGTGGGCGAGTTTGGAGGAGGTAGAAATTTCCCCTCAGAAACCAGAAACCACTAATATTTCCTTGTGTATAAAGTTCGTCATAAAATTCAGCACTGCTCTCTTTGACATTGAGTTCTTTTAAGACCTTTTCATGGTTACTTTCATCTCGTCATTCAGTCGGAGAAGTGGCAATCGGTCGGAGACCACACTCCATGCTTCGTTTTTACTATGGTCAACCACACACGGCTGTTAATGCGTTAATAATCTCGATATCTTCTTCAACTACGTATGTATTATTGGTACACGTATGTACACTCGTGTTAATGTTTTAGTCCGACAAGCCACAAACCATGATCACTTCGCTGGGATACTGATGGATTAATGCGTGCAGATGTCAAATGATACGTTTCATCCCTTCCTTGATGCCTCCCTGCCTGCCTTCGACCTGTGTACAGCTGTTGATTTTCATTTGCCTTGCTTCTGACAAGAATCTCATCTCATCTCCAAAGTGAAAAGTGCAAGTAAAGCAGCAGCAATAATGGTGCAACAATCTCGGCTGCCGTGCTTGATTTGATGAGGGCACAATAAGCAGGCAGAAGCCAGGATCGGGTGCAGATTGCTTTTCTAGCTTTGTCCGTACAGTTTTTTTCGTCAAGTTATTGTAATCTAAGCTTGCATCTTATTCACCCTCAGTCATTCATGTATTAGTCTCAATATTCTACGAGTAACGGTTACAGTAATATATTTCTAAGGGGCACGGGCCGTATTGTTAAGAGCTTGTAAAAATCAAAACCCAATTCTTGTCCGTTGCTACAATTCTTCAAATTTTCTTTATTACTGGAAAAACAAGTCTTAAATTTGGAGCAGAGCAACAATCAGTCAGTTTCCTGCTGTGTTTTTGGGTTATTCTCTTACATCCACTTAAGCAATTCTTCAGGATGAAAGATGAATGAGCAAATCCAGTTTCCTGGAGAAAATCCACTATTCAGAAATTAAACAATTACTCAACAAGTTGTGCAAGTCAAAGGGAAACAACACAAATTTTACACAAGGAAGAAAAAAGGCATGAAAAGTATACTGGTTGGATTGGATAACAAAAAAGTCAATGTGGCTACATTGTTGAAAGGAAGGGAAGGTTCTGCGCCAATCCATTTGCTTTATTGTTACATGCACTGACAATAAGCTCGGCGATATCCATGCACCAATAATATCTAAATAATTAGCCCAGAAACAATGATGAATTTTGAAGAAGTAAAAACTAGTCGTAATATTTTTTCGCTTTAATTCAACTCAATTTTTATTCTTTCCTTCCTCTCGTCAAATTCTTACATTTTCCTCATTTCTTTTCTCCACCTTTTCATAGTTAACAAGTATAATAATTATTATTTTTTATGGTTATTACTTCAAGTGTTGACTCTGACTCGCTGATTGCTAAATATCATTATGTACTGCACACCGGGATGGTGACACGCAGAGAGAAATTACGAAGTAGAATTAAATTCACGTACTATTCTAAATTTAAACTTTATCTACATCTCACATTTTACTTTCTCTCATCGCTCATTGCAAACGAAAATGAAAATTCTTGGAACCTTTCCGAGTCATATTTTAAATATACATATAATTATTTCTTATATTAACCTACTAAACTAACTATTTATTTAAGTTACTTAACTAACTTCCATCTTTACGGACTGGACTGGTAATGGTGGTGGGAAATTTTTAGTAAATCTACAATTTTTCTTAAGTTTTAAGCCTACAAATAAGTGATGAAACAGTCAAGTAAAAGTTTGTATATAAGCCAAAAAGATAGAAGAAATTAGAAAAGTAAATTTTAACAGTTGCATTATTTAAACTTTTTAAAACTCTATGCAGTTCACACTTACACCTTTGAATCGGTTTTTAACTATTTTTTAAGTAAATAAGTCAAGGCAAAAAAAACAAAAGGTTTTTTAACAATAATTTTCCTCAAAAAAGGGGTTTAAAAAAATTGTACTTTACAAATAGCAGATAAAGTTTATAATTGAGTAGTAACAATAGTATTATTTAGGTGGTGACTGTACAAGAACAACATTTAAGTTCTGCTGCTATTAAATGACAACGACATTAAGCAATTTTTATATATGTAGTCAAGCAATTAGATATTTATGTAGTGTATTATTATTACGTTACAAGACTTTTAATAACATATAAATGTAGGAATTCAGAAATTTAAAGCTATAGCAAGTGCAGATCAAAATTTTCGGACTTTAAGCACACATCGACACATCTTGTTTAAATGTAAGATGGCCTGAGGAGTTTTTGGCAACAGGTCATATTCTTAATTCTAATTATACAATTACACATTAACCTAAATAAATTTATCATACTTATCATATAAATTCTTAAAGCATTACTCTATAAATCCAGTCATTTGTAATTAATGACTTGTACATCAATCTAGTATGTAAATAATATGACGCCAGTTACATATATTTTTTACCATATTTATGCTACCAAATTCTAAAGGTATGTATGAATATACTAGTTTCCACACAACGGTGCGAGTCCTGTGTAACTACCTATTTACGAGAAAGTCTTAATTATTAAATATTAAAAGTTGACTGTTCTTCTGACAAACTAATGTAATTTCGATTGTACAATTGTCACTGCGTAAGAAGAATAACTGTGACTGATGGGTATGAGTATGGCCATAAACGCCATAAACACTGAACTATTTAAAGGGTGAGATTTCCACCGGGGTCACAGATTCTGGAGGAGAGCACACTTTTTTTTATATAAATTCACAGTAATAAATAACATACTCTTTGATTGAAGGAATAAAAACCTACTAATGGTCAAAATCACTAACACATATCGTACTTTATGCTACCAAATAAGTAACCTTATCATCAATGTTTAGCCATGACAAACAGAATGACAACAACAGTGATGTTTGACTCCATAGCATTACTCTTTACAATAATGTACAATTACATACTAGGAATTAATCACTTTGAAACGATTGCTGAGTACAATAATATTTAGCATTCAAAATTTATCTGTGCCTGGCTGTTGCGTATCCGCATTTCTTTGCTTAAATCGAGCGCAAAGTGATCTGTCTCTGCATTTTAAAATAAAATATAACGGTAACTCTTAGTGTGACTTACAAAACCTGGGTTTTGTAAATTACTGAGTTTTTTTACAAGTAACAAATGGCACCGAGCCTGCATTATTATTGCTACATAGCTAGATAATAATTTGTAATTATGGTACAGAGTAAATCTAGAAATTACAAGTGTGAAAAACTAAGAAGCATTAACTTGGAGTATTATTGCAAATCTGGTTATCTATGTATCTACATATGCAGATCCATCGTAGAAAAATAAAGCGTAGAAAATAATCGACACGTATAATTTGATTAGAATAATAATAACAAATTTGTGAAGTATTGTGTACCTACAATATTTACATGTAGGGTGAAACTTATAAAGTAACATATAAATACACAGTGATGAAGGGTACATAGATATAGTTTATGTAATATTACTTTGTTTCGTATTGACAACAATAGAATAAACTAGACAGCAAGCTTATAACTAGTGGAAACATTCTACTGTTTAAAATGAAAAATTTCGCATTTCCAAAAAAAGTAGACTAAGGAGACCCAGCACGACTGTTGGCTTCCATATCTTGCATATGGAGCGAATCGTTGAACAAACTACCGTCTGCACTGCTAGTTTCATCAGTATCATCCCTGAAATCAATGGAAAAGTGTCCACATGTTAAAAAATCATTAACTAAATCATATTTGCTTAGATAAATCCACCTGCATACGAACATACAGGTGATAACACTACACCGTACCTTATGCCAGCTTGACTTAGATCACCAGCATTGTGGAGATACTGACTTAAATCTGGTAGATCACTTAGGCCAGTTCCAGATGGAGGATTTAAACCACTTTCACGGCACCAAATTTGACGCATTTCCTGACGCCGTTGTCGCATTAGAGATTTATACTCTGATATTCGCATCTTCTTCCCATCGACGATGCATGTTCGCTTTGGTCGTGGCCGATATCTGTTGACAGCAGACAGTTATTAATTGCTGTGATCCTCATTATGTGACACACAGTACGAGTGAGTAAATAAATGTACCTGTAGTCTGGGTGTTTTTCCATGTGTAATTTGGATAACCGAGACTGTTCCTCATAGTACGGTTGTTTCTCACCATTGCTCATCGCCTTCCATTTTGCACCTACGCAATGAATTTAAGTACAATCATAAGTCAGTTTTGTCACTACATACTAAAAATGTAGAAAGAAATGTTAAATCATTCAACTAACCAAGAATTTTGGAAATATTCGAATTGTGCATGTCCGGACAGGCCTTTAAAATTTTGCGTCGCTCGTCCTTTGCCCAAACCATGAAAGCGTTCATCGGCCGCTTAATGTGTGGTTTGGAATCTGACTCTCTTTTTTGCTGCCTTATGATTTTTGCACCTTCAATAAAAATAATTCTCATTACACCGGATTAATGCATTAGCTGGCTTCAGGTTGATTGACTACTTACTTTGGTGGCATCCTGACCCATATTCGCCATCATCTTTGGATCTATTGTGACCTCCAGAGCCAATCATATCTTCATCTTGACTGTTTCCATTCATGGCGTAACCAGACGAGTGTGAGTACTGTCCAATTTTCCCCTGATTCATGGAACTTTGGGGAAGCGTTGGAGAGAAAGGGAAAGGTTGGTCCTTGCTTCCATTTCCTGAAAAAAAAATTGATTCCCCAATTATTGCAATTATTATCCCCGTTTAAAGTATGTATGTACGAACCAAATAGCTTACCAGATGGAAGAGGAAATGTAGCAAACGGCATAAACGTAGATGGTAACACAAGACCAGGTGGGACTGAATTTCTTGACGATGAGTCTGAACTTTGATTTTGGTGCAGTGTCGGAGATCTGTCGCCATTGCTCATCATAACATCACAACCTCTTCCCACTCCACCACCACCGCTACCCCGTGATCCGGAGGAACCCTTAGGTTTCGAAAGATTTAAAGGACCATCTGCCTCAGCCGGAGTGGGTGGAGAAAGCTGAGGTGCATATGGAGCCTGCCTTGGAGCCGACGTGGGCATCATTGGCATTCCGGGGAACGTCTTTGCGTTTGGGTATACGAGCTACACAAAGGATCGAACCAATAAATTACACTAATCAAGGTAAACCATTAATTAGTGAGACTGAAAATGTGTGCGAATTATTCTTACAGAATTCTTTGAAATGCATGGCTGAATGTTTTGAAGAGTGTTCTGAAATGCTCCTGCTCCGCCGTAATGAAGCTGGTCCAGAAATGGGAAGAGAACAAAGTTCTGTCCCATTGCGGCCGCTGCTGCCATTGCTTGCGGATTAAGGAACGATTGAATAGGAGACGGGAGGTTGGTCGCTTGTTTGCAGCCGTTCTGCAAAGTACAAAAAATGTAAATTAGTATTTAGTTAAATACTTAGCAGATTGTTGCAATATTTAAAACTGTTTCGCCTACCTTCCCGCCACCGGCACCCCCACTTGTCTCTGATCCACGCACGTGGTGACCTCCACCAGTATCTTGTTTCTTATTCGAATGTTGACTGTAAGAATTTGATGTGTGATTGGCAGATTGATGATGCTGCTGTCGACCATGGAAAGAGTCTGAATGTTCAGAATCGCCTCTATCTTTTCCACCCAAAAACTGCAACAAACATAAAACAAAGTTGGACTAAATTATTATTGCAATTTAAGAATTTGACATAATATCATGAGAAACATTAGTACTGGTGCATTTATATTACAACAATGAAGGTGTGCAATTTTGGAAAAGTTTAAAGGAGCATTCCACATGAACAGCCATTGTTGGTAAATGTGAGACATTATCAGAGCTCAGTCGACTGGATTAGCAGAAATACACATTCTCTCCTCCTCTCGCTCCTTCTTCTGTGTTCCTTCCAACTTTACCGGATTCAAATTCAATCGCCTAGTTTCACACATTTTCAGAAGAATTGGGTGCCAAAATAAAGAAAAAAGAGACCAAAATCCTACACTTCTCTCTCTTTTAGTCAGATGTGCTGTTCTCTCTTGAATACACAAAGTTTGACATTCATGACCTGAGAGAAATGTGGGAGTTGAGTGATGAGCATATCATCTACATAGCAGAAGAAAGGGCGATGCTGCAAGCTCAAAGAACATACATCCTGACACGCCAAGCACCACACCACACGTCGTCATAATAATGGAACCGAGACAAGAACCACCACACACACGGGCTGGAAAGTGACGACGGGCATAGCACAATTGGGAGCTCAATAGCTCCCTGAACTGTACTAATCTTTTCTCATCTCTCGAAAAAATGCGAAAGAGAAACAAGTGGAAAATATGCTGAACAGGAGTCCTAATACGCTGCCTAATTTCTTCTTTTGGGGGAACATGACAAGTAAATTGTAGCCCCACCACCACCTCGACGACTACGACTGCATAATACACATTCTTTCTTATCTCCTCTGCTATAGGCCGTGCTATTATTATTTCTGCTGTTATTATTAGTTTCCTTGAAGGATGAAGGTAGATACGTACGACGGTTCAAGTGTCCCATTTTCTCCTCACAATGCACCCGCTAATGAGGGAGTGGCAATACTGCAGTTCAGTGTGTACACAAATAAACAACAGCAAATTCGCATGCAGCGAGTAGTGCGCCGAGTGGAATAGCTATTAGAAGAAGGTTTGGCTTGTAGGTGGTTCTTGAGAGAATGAGAATGAGATAGCATCTCTGTTGAACAAAGGGGAGCGTTTTTGACAAAGGGAGGGCCAAAGGATTGTTAAGGAGGATGGAGATGAATAAATAAATCTCATCTCGTAATAATTCTTGTCTCTCTTCAAATCTCCCTAAATAAGGAAGAGAGAGGAAGAAGCAAGAGGAGAGGAGGAGGAGGAGAAAGCCTTTGAATCCTTTGATTTTGATTTGACAAAGCAAACACAAACAAAGATGAGATGAGAGAGAGAGATGATGAACTCCCTGCCTTCTCAGCTCCTTGTATGCCTGGTTGGTCGGTTGGGAGTTTGGTTGTTATTATTTTTCCTTTTGTTCATGATCATCACAGAGTGTGTACACACATAAACCTCGATCTAGAGGTTCTTCTTTCTTGCCTGAAACTCGGCCTAATTGGACCAAACAGTGGCAGTGGAGGATGTAGTACGTAACATGTAAGGGTACAAGTGTGTTGGCTCAGCAATTAATTATGTGCGATTACATGTAACAATGAGACGACAAAGAAATTTAATTTGAATCGAGCTCTGAAACAAGCTCACTAGTCTTCAATGACTGGTTTTGTTTTAGATAATCATTGTAATTTCACGGTAATTATGGCGTTGTGTAACTCATAAATAAATACTGAACCACACTTATACAACTAAAAGACAAATAAAATAATTTAAATGACATTGATTGCTCGTTTTGTCGATGACACAGTTTCTCAATAATTATTGGTCTGATGTTGCAATTTTGAGGTAGCGTAACCATGTGACAATTCAGACAAGAAATGAGAATTGTGTAACGAAACAACATAAATAAACCAGCTTCATATTCTTGTCGTCACGTCTGAGGAGGATTGCATTACAAGGCGAACGAACGACTGCATTTCCAACTACACAAAGGAAAAATGTGAAACTTTCTCCTCCTGTTTTTCTTTTGGAATTAAAAAAATGTTAACAATTCTCGCTCTAGCTCAATCTCATCTAAAAAGTTGTGTAATAGACTTTTGATGAGAAGATCCAACAAGAGGAGGAGAAGAAGAAGAAAATGGATAAATGAGAAGAAAGATAGAAAAAGAAACATTTTGTAATGGACAAAAATTCGAGGATGGTTCACATAATGGACGAATATCATATCACAGCATCTCCTACATCATCAACTGGTTTGCTTTGACATCATTTCATTTTTGTATTGTGAGCATGTAATGAGAATTTCTAAATGCGTCAACTCATCATCATACATACTTCACTTGGCTCTTTTTGCTAGGCATCCCCGTTTATAAATTGTCTCATTTGTTTCCATTGTTGGCAAGAAATACGTAATCCTTTAAAAAAGGACCGAGTAATAATAATGCAAATGATTGCTCCGTCTATCTGAGAGGGTATGAGCTAAATATTAGGTAAAGCTGACAGGTTTGTTGGTTTATGCAAATTGGGAACACAATTTTAAGTATGGTGATGGGTGCATGTAAAAAATTATGTGAGTATAACAATTATCAATGAGTAGAATGAGACGATTTTTTTAAAGTAGGAATGAGAAAAAAGTATCACGGCAATAGCCTCACTTCCTGGTTATTATTATTCCAGACTATGAATTATGTACAATAGCATCTTATCGATTATATATATAAAAATAAGATTACTTGACAATTTGACTTTTTGAATTTGTTTTAATTTTTAAAACATCCAAAAATTACACTAACCAGCCGTTCTGAACGACGAGGAATACACATGTTCCGCACCAAACTTGACATTTCCCATGATGATGCATGACCAAAGAAAGTGGAGAGAGAAGCAGTGATCCGAAGACAAAGAGGAGAATTAGTGAACCTGGACGCCCCAAGATTTAACCCCGAGAATGATGGAATTTCCATCTCATCTCTTCCGACGACTGACCTTGTCTTCGTCGTTTTAAGTGTCACGGACTGCTGCTGCTGCTGCTTTTGGTCTTTCCATACATACCAAATAGTAGGGGACTGCCTTGCTGCATGGGAGCAGCTCCAGCTTATGGAAGCTTACCTAATAAATTCTAGTCCAAATTAAGAAATCTACCGGAAAATGTGCGCCGGACCTTTAAAAATGCGGAGAAAGCCCATAAATACTTCATGGAAAGATATCTCACAAGACGACTCATAATTCCTTAATGTGTGTGCGTATGTGTGTATGCGGTTAGCTGATGTGACACGGGCCAATCCTAATAAGCAATAATAATCCTCCGGCATGAGCTACTACATACTTCGTATTCTTACTTTCTACACGCTGGCAAGGCTAACAACCACGACTTTTCTATACGATGATCCAAGGAGCAGCAAAGTACCATCGTCGTTGTGGCAGCATCACAAAAGTTGTTGGGGTTTAGTTGGATGGATGAGGTATGCGAAATCCATAATTCTATCGAAGAGTAACAACCATCCAACAGAGGAGACACACACACGGAGGCTACGAAGAAGCAGAAGATTACTACTACATACATAATTCTCAAGAGGATGACTACTACAAGAACTACTCGTTGAACTCCATAAATTTATCGGAAGCAAAAGCCACCGGGTCCGCGCACGATTGCCAATTCACAAAAATGCGTCAACTTCTTGTGAAATTCAATAGTGGTGGTAAAAGTAAAGTAAACCCAAATCATTCCCCTGATTTATTACCACACTCCGGAAGAATTTAGGTGGAAGTGAGTGCATTATTTTGTATCTCAACAAACCAACCCTTATTACACCACCACGTACGTACGTAATGCGAACGGGGCTGCGGGAGCATTATTATTATATACCCACCCGGTCCATGAATCAATGAAATGAGCAAAACGAATCTTAAAAAATTCCAATCCAGATAAACGAGATCAATATCAAGTCATCCGTGGTTTATGATGGGACGAGGAGAAAAAGTAGGAAAAAATAATGTGCTTTCCCATAAACAACCACGCCAACTTTTTATTCTATACACACACGCAGAGAGACACAAGTATTATGCATGTATTATCATTATTATGCCAGGTCGCATACTTTAGCGGATCATGAAATTTTTGAGACAGGATGGGAAATCGACTTGTTCTTGTGCCCGGCAACCTCACCCGCCTGCCTTTCATCAACTTTTCTCTCTCTCCCACACAGTCGTCGCTTACTTAATTTTGTGAGAACAAAACAGTGGAGAATGGAACTCGAGCCAAGAATAAGAGAAGATGAAGATATTTATTTGAGTTGGTGAGGAGAGCAAAGAGATCATTTGTCAGAGAAAGAGCTCATCAGTCTTATTGTTCCTTCATTCACTCTTGACTCTCATCGGCCCTCCTCTTGTACTTTTTCCTCCTCTTCTTCTCGTCTCTCACAACTGCCCAACTTTCAACAACTTTTATTATTTTAACCCTTGACTTTTACCACCAACACCATCCGATACAATGCCTCTCGCAAGACGGGAAGAAGACCTGGGAGTGAGACAAACCATTTATTCTTCTTTTTCTTCTTCTCAGCAACAGGAAAGAAAGAGAAACAATGCAACAAATGAACAGCAGAGCCAACACTCTCCTGGTTTCTATCTACTTTGGAAAGCAAACATTTTATTTTTATTCCATTCAACGGACAGGATTTGGAAGAATTTTGAAATTAATTCCGTGCTGTTGAGAGAGAGCACAAGTTTTCTAAAGTTTTCATTATCTTGAGATTGAAAGAAAGGATTTCAGTCATTATTCAATACATAGTTTACTCTAGGCAACAAGCACCTCCATCCATACCCACCCACCTATTGAGACGAATTTAAATATATCCATGTATGCAGGCACACTATGATGATTGCATTATTGCTATTATACTGGATTCCTTATGCTGCTCATTACTACAAGAGAACTGATTGTGTATGTCTTTTCCTGCTCCTGCTGCTGCTGAGTCGAGTGTTAAAAAGGCTTTTCTCTTCTCTCTTCTGTCTGTTAATGACAGAAAGAGAGCAAAG